GATAGACCCCACAAGTGCCAAAGGCCCATTTTCTTCTCAAAAAAGAATTTTTCGCCGTTTCAGGCGAATACTCCATATCACGCTCTCTTCCTGACTTATACCGACATCAGTACTAATTCTGTGTTACAGGTGAACGTCTATCAATCCCCCTATCCATCCATACCACGATGGCATCTATCTCTCGCAGTGCATAACTCCCGGTATTTCACATGTTATAACACTGGAGGACTCCACCTCTCCATGCCCTGCTGGAGCCGTGTTTGCCGATGGTTCTGTACCGGCATTGTATCAAAACCCTGCCACTTTCTACTTCGGGAACTAAAATCTCCAGCTTTACACAGAATGGAAGATCAGTACCACAGAATCGCAAATATCCTTATCTTCCTATACATCACGTGAAATTTGTCTCCCCAGTTACATACTCTACACGTATCTGTAAAACGTAATATTGCAGTAATCTTGGCAAGGCTTCATAACACTGCTCCGCCCAGGCACGTTGGATCATTTGCCGACAGGAGGTATTTTAGGCCGACTCCAACGGCGTACGGAGCACTCCGGAGACTCGCTGTATATAGCGACATGTAAGCCTCCGCGGTTCCGCAGCTTTAACAGGTATTCAACGCCCCGCGCTAATTGGATCCCATCTTTTGCGGCTGTTCCGGGAATCGACTAGTCTCCTTCATACCCCTAGAGCACTTGAGATCTACAGAGTACCGTCATCCAATGCTCTTCCATGCACAGACCTGGTGTTTTTAATGGCCAGTCTAGGGTGAGTTTTGTCTCCGTCAAACAAGACCGGGGACATTTCTAAGCTGAACGGAGGGAGTCTCACCAATGTTTCCATATCATCTGTCAGCCGGCACCAGCTTATTCTTTCTGTTGAAATCGCCCAGGGCAATAGGGAGGGGAAAGCCGGGGGTGTTGTTTCAAGAGGGGGTAGCAGAAAAGAAGTTTCTCCATGGATACGTGGCTTATATCTGCTCAATACTACCTCAGAATTTCCAAAGTAAACAATACGCAGCATGGGGCACGAGGCATCTAATGCAGCTACGATACGACTTCTACACGATAACACGAACCTCAGGGAGAGTTAGTGCTTAGTATAGCATTATAAAAATATGTCACTGGTATGGAGTACATGCTGTTATCGTCACCATAACAAGATGAAAGACTAGGAGCCAGAGTGTGGCGTCATTTGCCTACTATAACACAACATTTTGACAAATGAAAATGGATATACTTCTACAGCCTTTTGCTCATCTAAAATCCATATAAAAGACTATTAAATTCTTTGTCTGCTGATCTAGGACCAGATTACATAAGTTCTGCGGGATTGCAGATCCTTCGTGTTTCTGGCTTTTTATTCCGAGTCGGACCCTCGCCCACCACCCGGTAGTTCCGGCCGTCCGAAAGCTAGACGATTCATCCACGCCGAAGGATTCCAAGTCCTACGTAACACAGGCTTCTTCCTAAAGAGGCGCAGCATAGGAGTTACTTGCTAGCTAGTAAACCGCGCGTACATAGTATGATGTAAAAAAAAAGCAAATTAAGTGCTATAGCTTATGCACCCGTCGTATCTAAAGCGCATGGACTATCGCGCAACTACGTGAACATAGGCCACTTCGGCATTTGAGAACTACACGTTCACCGTTGCCTTCATTTGCATGATACATAGACCTTTGCTAATATTATAATCACGATCATATGTCACAGACAAAATTGTATTGATACAGGAGCGCAACGAATGTGCGGTGTGTAGGTTAGTTTCCTTCGTAATACTTGGCTTTGACATCGCTTTTGCCCTATAGTTGAAGCACCTTGTAGTAATGAGTTGATATTGGGTTGATTTAGATGGAATATAGGAGTATTATACCTCCTAAACGGCAAAAAGCCTGCTTTCCCTCAACTGCCGTGGACACTATATTGTTTCTGTGCGAAGTGGAACAATACGCAGCAGGTCAGTAATCTATATCCTAGTAGTAATGTAATTAGGCCCTGGATTTAGTTACCAAGCTAGGTAATATCTCCAGAGGCACACAAGCTAGTTGCAAAAAGGCTACCAACTATTGTCTGTGTCCATGTCAGAAAAAGTAGTTCTGCTATAGATACGGATCTCAATGCTACTTGGAGACCTTACATAGAGACAAGTAATACCAAATGAAATGTTGAAGTTAAAAATCTTAATATGAGTTGTCAAGAGATATTCAATGCGGCGTTGTCTCGCGAGTCAATTACATCAAGATATTGATAGGCGCCCTAAAGGTTACAACGTTGAGCCCCTTTATGTCGCCACCCATTTAGGTAAACAAGGAAAATGGAACTTAATCTTCCCATAGAATGATTGACCCCATAAAACGATTTACTATCCCATAATTGTTTCAACATGATATGACATTAGTGTTCTAGAACAAGGCCATAAGAACGGAGGTAAATGTAGGGATGTTTCGTTGCAAGGTCGAGTTGACGATAGCTGACCCGCAAAGGGGAAATGAGGTTGTATGCTTTACCAAATGGATTCATTTTGCCACGTCACTAGGTAATTATCAATAATATTAGCCCTGTTTCGATTTGCTAAGTAAAAAGGAGATACACCCCCAACACGATCCAGTACCCCTTTTCAGGCAGCCACAAACAGACCAATGACAGAGCCTAGCCAAAATCGATCACTGATTCAAGGCTTACTTGCGTACGGAGTACTTGTGACTAAACTTTATTCAAACTGACTGTCACGTATCTACTCAGCCGCGCCTGATTAGGGGTCGGCGATGGTTGGTGAAGAAACTCTATGAACTAATCGCCTTTTGCCTCAACGCTGCCCAACTATGTTCAAGGTGCGATATGTGTAGAATTCAGAATTCACGAAGATATCAGTCGTGTACAAACTGCGTGCATTGTTCGTGGAACGGTACTCAGTGTGGCGTGATTTGGCTCTGTTATAGAGACATGAATTTAGTAAGAACTATACGCAAATATGAGTATAAGTAATACATGTGCATGATTCGACTGAATGGGGATCTTACTCCTTCCAAAGTTGCCTAGTTACAGATCTATGTTGCCTTCGATGTCAACTTGTAATGCAATTACAGGCCAAGCAAGGCAATGATGAAAAGCCCATCTGGAGTCTCCGAGCCCAACGATTTTGCAGTTGCTCCACATTGTTTTCTAGAGATACTACATTTTGCTCTACAAAATTTAGAAGAATGAAGACAAAAAAGCAGAACCATCGTTAAGCACTTCTTCTGGAATATCCTACGCAAGAGGCTATCGTAGTGCTGCGTTGCGGTATGTGTAGTGCTTCCAAGCCACAAGATGAGTCCCGAGACAAAGCCACAGCAGCTCCCGCGCTTACTTTGCCGCTACATTCCTTGCGATTCTGAAGCAGGGCTATGCAGCGCCTACTCTGTATTACAATAGCTTCTGTAAACAAAGACCTGAGAGAAGCAAAGTACCAGGCCTAGCGATTGGGCAAAGCGGCCGACATGGTTTAAGGCCATGGGTCAGCAACTCCAGCTAAGATGGATGGGCTGTGTGGACCGGTGTGGAGGCGCGGCCCGAGGTGGAACCCGCTAAGTGTTTGGAAAGTCTGGAGCTTCTGTAAATGCGGATTTATCTTTTGTCCGAGGGTAATAAAAAACTTAGCCATCCATGTCCGCATGGCCCTGAACGATGGCCTTATGTATGTACGAAAGACACAAGGCACTGCCCCAGACTGTCCAGGTTTCCTGGTAGCCCACCTCTCCTGTTCCCCAAGCTCTAGCAAAGGCGCAGACGACAGTTGATGACTTAATGTGGGATGAGACATGCCGGGGTTGTCGGTATCCTTATTTAATGGGTCGCGCCCATCCATGCTATTTTGTCATGAGGCGTTCGCCGTAGTCGGTACTTCTAAAACAGGAAACCACAGGGGGAGGGAGGGGCTCGGCGAGACGAGGAAGCGATTTGGATAGATGTCAGATGTTGTATGTATGGAGTAGCGTGATGATCATCTGCTGGTAAGCCCTAAGATAGCAAATCAAAGGGTGGACTCCGCTGAGGGAGGGGGAGTGTGGCGAGACATTCAACTACATGTAGGCAGTTACACATTCGGGCAAACAATTGCTCTAAATGCACGTAAAAACAGTCACTCATTGTTGAACCAGAACCCAGTCGGATATTTTCCTCCGCGCTACTCCGCCCCCGAGAATTATTAGGATTCTTACGCCGCTTTTGCGGCCGATACTTGTGTCTGTCTGCAGCCTCTTCATTGGGTTGAATCTGGCCGAGCTTACGGGAACCCTGTCGTACCACGTGGAGCACTAATAGGATCCCACTGGTATCATTGATATGGGTGTATCACCAATGCCGAGGTTACCATCGACAACTGAGGTTCCCAGGCTGCGGAACTCCGGGCACCGAGAACCTGGAAAGTACGTCCTCCGCCAATGTCAAAGTCCGTATGTAGAGACATTGTTGTGTTATGTAAACCATATAATCTAACGTAAGCACAGCGTGTTATAGCTTTTGGGATACTCTTATGAGTGGCCCTTATCGGACGTCGGGATATACACCCCGAGGATCATGAGAGATTGTGCTTGTGCCGTGGGTTTTCTGGTACCATAGATGACCTTACCTTAGCTTACAGACTAGAATTGAGCCTTGACAGTGACAAGATGCTATACTAATGTTGGTAGATCTGTGACCTTCGTTGGTTCATGCACCGGCGCCGTGGCAGACTCCTTGCGTCAAAGCGGGCCGAGATCATCACATTTCCAACAGCTCGGAGGATGTGTTGCATTGAAGTGGTTAGATCTAGCCCCTCTGGAAAATAATGTAGCAACCAATGGAACTCTGTTCCCCTCTCAATATATATTTGCGTCTTCCGCTCAGTAACTGTGTCACCGGTCTCTTTGAAAGACCGATTCTTCGAGCCACCCCCTTTGAAAATCAACTCCGACGATCGAGTAACATAGAAGAACGATCTCGAATAATATAACCAAGAGGGACGACCTGTTTCTCTAATCATGGTGGACCAAGCGGAACGCCCCTTTCGGATCATCGTCGTGGGTGGTGGAGTGGCTGGAATAGTTGCTTCTAATGCTCTTCAGAGGCTCGGTGTCGATCATGTTGTTCTCGAGAAGTATTCCGACATTGCACCTCCTCTTGGCGCAGGTATATCCATGTGGCCACATGGCCTTCGTGTCCTGCATCAGTTGGGCTACCTTCCTGCAATTCAGGAGGCCTCTGTCCCAATTTCCCGATTCTGTTCACGAGATCCAACTGGACGGCTGATTCACGACAATCTTTTGTATACTCACGTCGAGAAGAAGTAAGTTCATGAATAGGAAGTGTCGATAGCTTTGTTACTGGCATTCTTTTGTGAAAGTTGGACTGCAAGTTAATGGACATAATCTAACGATTGCCAGCCATGGAATTGGATTCTATCCCTTAGAGCGACAAAATTTCTTGCAAATTCTCTACGACGGACTACCAGACAAATCGTATATCAGGACGAATGCCGGAGTCGAAGATGTGGCACAATTTGCGGACCGAGTTGAAGTTAAGCTCAAAGATGGCAGTGTTGAAGTTGGCGACATGGTGCTTGGCTGCGATGGTGTCCACAGCCACATGCGGACCTTGATGTGGCAACATGCCGGGAAAACTTCCCCTGGCTTGATACCAAACACCGAGAAGACTTGTATGTTGATACACCATCCGTGTGTTGTAATGCTCCTTTGCCATTGTGCTAACATTGCAGCACCACAGCCCTTAAAACATCCTGGAAGACTCTGGCGATGACCACGCCACCCATGCCCGAGCTTGGCGATAGCTACCTTACCGTGACCTACAACAATGGAATCACATTCCTCGCAACATCCCAGCCACACGCCGTCTACTTCTTTGTCATTTTTGCTCTCGATAAGCCCTTCACCTGGCCTCACCGTGAACGCCACACGGATGAGGAAGCTCAACTCCTGGCCGAGACTATCATGGATAAACCCGTCACCGAAGAGCTGCTTTTCGGAGAAGTTTGGAGACGCCGTACTCGAGCCGTTGTCATCTCTCTTGAGGAATGCGTGATGGATCACTGGCATCACGGCAGAATTGTTCTGGCCGGTGATGCAGTCCACAAGGTTCATCCAAACATGGCTCTGGGTGGAAACTCTGCTATCGAGGGAGTAACTCGAGTGATTAACAATATTCACAACATTATGAAGACTACCAAGGGACCGAAGCCAAGCGGGACAGCTTTAAGCCATGCATTTGCGGCATATGAAAAAGAGATGAAGCAGCGAATGAGAGAGCTCATGGACATCAGCAACATGGTCGCCAAGATGCACACATATGCCACGCCAGTTCACAAGCTGTTGGCCAATTGGATTCTTCCCATTGCCAATGATAGGCTCTTTGCGGATCACATGGGCGGATACCTTTCTGCAGGCCCAAAGCTCAACTTTTTGCCCTCTATTGGCTTTACGAATGGATTGATGGAATGGAAAGAGAAGCCGGACGACTATGATGAAAAGAACAGTCTTAAGAACGAGATTCGAATCACGACTACGATCTCTGAATTATCCATTAGCGCATAAAATGCGCTACCGGTTTATTCGACAGCTGCTCTAGGAGAGATTAGCTGGAGTCGCGATTCACCGGAGCTGCAACATTTTATTTTCAGAGGACGTCTTTTAGACAGGAAAGGAGACGTTAGTGCCAGAAGGAAAGTTTCTACTGATGGATTTGAGGCAAGAAGTGTTTCAGCCATGATAATGCTTACAGGAGGAATGAATGGAATTTGTTAATGCACTTGCTATTTTGTTGGTTTCCAAGCGTTTTTCCTAAGAGTAAAGAATCATAAGGGCTACGAGGTCGAATAAAGAGAAAAAGTTGAATTATCAAGAAGTCTTATCTCACTGCCATTTCAAGCCGATTTTACTTGAATATATGGTTCAATTGCGATGCTTTCGCCGGTGACGTTGACAAGATACCTAGGATATACCACGGTGGACATGTATTAAAGCTCTCGTAGCTTTAGCAATCCCGGCGTCCATTCTAAAGATAGTCGAGTAATTAGCCATTGGTATACTATATGCCACTCCAGTTACGTATTTTAAAGTTGATGTCTACCGAATCCATAACGACTAGCCTAGCTGTCGTGATGATTCACAGGCCCTTGCATGGGAAGATGGACTTGGTGGCTTTGAGTAACATAAAAGATCCGCTCTTAGTTCTTAGCAGTAGTACCTAGACTAGTAGTCGATCATCAGGAGATTACTCCGTAGATTGCCATAGTATGCACCATCGGCTCTACTTTCGCACAAAGAACCTGCGGTGGTATCGGCGCCAAGGTCCCTTAATGCCGTCAAATCGTCCGCATGCTAGGCACCGGACAATCTCGACAATGGTGTGGTAGGATTCATACTTTGCCACCATACCACCAACCGCCGCAGGGAGCATCGGATTGGCTCATGCCCCTGTCATACGTGTCCACTCCGTATCTCCGAATGCTCTGCATCTAAGCTCTTCTCGGACCCCGCGTTGTCCGCACCTCCACAAAGGCCAGGAATTCTCTCGGGCACGGAGCTCAGAATCCGTCACTATGCCTAAAGAGCGTCGCGAATGGCTTGTGATGATGACTGCGACCCAACTGCATAGATGACGTGAATGGATGTTACAAAACAAAGAAAAAATCACATATAATGAGCTGAGTGCCGAGCCTTTGCTCTGGTCTCATTCTCCCAAACTCTCCATCAACAATAACACACCACTCAGTAAAGCCCAATCCTCAAGACGCCAATTGCTACTCGTTCCGATTCCCTATTGATTGACGCAAGAACCAACACAATAGACCAGCTCCCCACAAAAAATAGGCACAGAATCTCGCCAAAATGCCTGGTACTATGAGCTTCATGAAACAGTCCTTCCCGGGCGCCCCCAAATTCACGGACAAGGATGTCCCAGATTTGACGGGAAAGGTGTGTAAAATATCCTCACCCGCTTGCCTCCGCTTACATGATCGCTAATGCTGGATTCGATAGACTGTCATCGTCACTGGCTCCAACACTGGTCTCGGCAAGGTTATGGCCCAGGTCTTGTACTCCAAGAATGCTAAGGTCTACATGATGGCGCGATCTGAGGAAAAGACCAAGACCGCCATTGACAGCATCAAGTCAACGGTTACCAAGTCGGCTGGCGAACTCATCTACCTGAAGCTTGATCTTTCCGATATCCCAAGCGCCAAGGCCTCCGCCGAGGAGTTTTTGCGCCGCGAGAAGAACCTGCACTTGCTGTTCAACAATGCCGGTGTTGGATACCCCGAGCCTGGCAGCAAGACGAGCCAAGGCTATGAGCTCCAGCTGGGTGTCAACTGCCTTGGAACATTCACCTTCACCAAGACGCTGACTCCTGCCCTCGTCGAGACCGCCAAGACAGCACCAAGAGACTCTGTTCGCGTCGTTTGGGTTTCCTCTTCAGCCGCCGAGGCCATTTCTCCCAAGAACTACGTTGAGAACCTCTCCAAGATTGAGAAGATGGGTGCTTTTGAGCAGTACTGCGTCAGCAAGCTCGGAAACTACTGGCACGCTACTGAATTCGCGGCTCGCTACAAGGCCGCTGGTGTTGTCTCCATCCCCCTCAACCCCGGCAACCTCGACTCCGACTTCTGGCGTACTCAGGGCAAGCTGATGACTTGCATCCTGCGAAAGACCCTCCTGTATCCTCCCATCTACGGTGCTTATACCAACCTCTTCGCTGCCTTCTCTCCCGAAGTTACCCTTGAGAAGTCAGGCTCCTTTGGTAAGAAATCTCGTAACCTCTTGTATGGGTTAAGAATTACAGATGGCTAACTGAGATACAGTTGCCCCGTGGGGTCAGTTCTGGAACGTCTCCAAGGAGATGATTGCGGGCTCCCTTCCCAAGTCCGCAGGCGGCACTGGTATTGCCAGCAGCTTCTGGGACTGGACTGAGGCTCAGATCAAGCCTTACGTCTAATCGAAAATGCGTTGAGGATGTGGACCAAGGGATTTTTTTCTTTTTTTCTAGACTTTCGGAGTTGGAGTGGTTTGATAAATGAATCGGATGCTTTCTATACTCGCGAGATAATCATCTGTGGGAGCCAGAGCCAGCGACCATGTTGCTTGATTAGGTTTATGTTGTTACGTCAAATTTGGAATCAATTATACTCTTTATTTACACTTTCCCTTTCTTTACCTATTTCCATGCGATTCATAATTAGTTTCCCAAATCATTCCCATAGCCAAGCATAAGCAATACATGTCCAACGTTCGTAAACTGCATTCACGAACATACATACGACATAAGGCAAGATAGAAAGCGATTGCTCTTCTTACATCAGCTCTATAACGAAAATCTTTCAGTTTACTTCCATGTTCAGAATTTCCAATCCAAATATTTATCGGGAACCGTCGGCCACTTGTCGATTCCATCGCGAATAACAATAGACATGCCTCCCAAAAGATGGTTGCTGATGTGGCAATGCAACAGCCACGCACCCGGATTTACAACCTGGTATCGCACCACAACCCACGTTTTGCCGGTGATGGCGGGTAGCGATGCGATGCTGTCCCTACGGGGTGGGTTCACGAGATTAAAAAGCTCTGGCTTCTCCTTGATTGCTTCTTCGACAGAATCCCAAGCAAATTCGCCCTCGCCGGCACCAATCTGGAACATTTTGTTGCTGTGCTTGTGAATTGGGTGAGGCGGCATTGGTACTGTGCTGGCGAACAGGACAAGGTCAACCCATGTACCATTAAAGGTTGAGATGGTCACATTGTTCTGCACAGGTTCCGGGTGTCGGAATAAGATGGGTAATTCGCTAGAGCTGTCGAGAGCACTGGGCATGAGACGAGATGAGTTCAAGGCCCAAAGGTATGAAGCCCCATCGAGCTTCATGTCGAGTTTATACGTCACATCAGCCCTCTGCGCAATTGGCTCCGGTGGGAATGGCGCCGCCGTGGCCTGGTTGAATAACGTTACTTTCTTTGACAACGGCACTCCTGTAATACTGATGAACGGCTTCGACTCGCTTCCGTAAGTCTTGCCGCAGTTGCTTTGTACTTCCAAGACGGCATTTCCAACTAGCACCTGTGGAATACTAATGGCATTGCAGCGAATGCTGAACTTTCCAGCCTTGGTGATTTTTACCATGACGCTATATCGATCACCATTGGTGAGGACGAGGGCCTGTACTTTCTGGGGATGAATGTATGATCCGTCCATGGCATACACCCACATATCATGCTCATCAATAGACACCATCGATGTGATGAAGTTGATGGAGCCGATGATGTTGATTGCAAGCCACTGATGAGCAGGAAGTGACGATAGTTGCGCTTGAATAACTTCAGTTGCGCCTTTGGTTTCCTTGCAGCCGGAAAAGGCTCTAGCAGGAATGGCAGTGAGATTAGCTTGGTCTGGGTTACCCAATGCAGCGAGCGCCGCAGGAGGCAGGCATCTATATAAACTTGCATTAGTACTGATAGGCGTATACCGCGGTGAAGTTGAGGTGAAACGCACGATTTGTCAGTCATGGCAGTTGCATTGCCCATTGCCAAAAACGCCTTTTGATCATCGCTTAAGTTGGCCGAGACTTCTGCACTGGGAAGACACTGCACATGTCCCTTGCCATTGAACAAAATGGAATCATAGCATGAGTCCTCGACACCACTGGCCAGTGCAATGTTCCACTTCTCTTGAGATGTGAAGTGGTTAAAGTCTGCAATGGCAAGGGGTTTGACGTTACGTTCAGCGTCAATCATGGCGGCGATGGCATTAGGGTCGGAAGATATCAGATGGAAAGGCTTTGGGTCCTGTGGGCGAGGGTGAATGATGATGGGGCCATAGAGACCATCTTCAATCTGCCCGTGGAAATGCGAGTGGTACCAGAAACTGCCATACTGGGTTGCTGCGAATTCATGGACAAAGTGGCCACCAGGCGGAATGGACAGTTGAGAGAGTCCAGGGACACCATCGGACCATGGTGTGCCAAACATCTCAATGCCTTTGGAAATTAGCATTGTTTGCTAATAAAACATCATAGTCGACTTACCATGGAAGTGCATAGTAGTATTCTGAGGTGAGTGATTCTTGACACGCACTACTACCCAGTCGTCCTGATCAACCTCGATGGTAGGGCCCGGCGACTGGCCATTGATCAAGAACATTTGCCGTGAGAAGCCATCTGGAGCGTGCTTTGCCCATGTCAGAGTGAAGTTAAACTCACGCACCCGCACGGGAGGGACATAGGCTGGAAGCGCCCATGCTGATAGCAACTGTGCAAGGAGAAGGAAGAGGATCGTGGATAGCCGTGCCATTGCGAGTTGAGCAGATCGAAGAAGATGGTCTGGCCCCTGGAGATAATAGCGTCGAGAACACAAGGGAACGACAGGTTATATCATATTACACTCGGCCAACATGTCTCAGTCTCACCACCCAAATCCATGGCCCTTCGGCGAAGACTTAGCCTCGTCATGTCTCAGATCAATATTGAGACGGATAGAAGCTGCGATAGGCGTCATCCGGCGGCAACTGGCCCCTGCACGCCCGCCTCCCTGGACTCGGGCCAGCGAAACAAAAACAATCAGAGATACAGCATGCGTGTTGGTGCAAAGCCTTGATTGGGACCGTGTGTGGTAGCCCACCGCATCTGGTGGACCGCGATCCGCTTTCAGCTCGTCTCGGTTTGTAGGATCTAGCAAACTTGGCACCTCATAAGCGCGCCAGCGCAGCAAATCTGCAGCTACTCTTCTTAGTGAACAATCCTCTGAGCTGATTATCCAAGCCCTAAATAGCATCATTTGTCGAGTTTAAACAAAGTTTTGGGCTCTTTTGTAGCCTGGCCAGGCGCAGCGGCGACCGCCGATCCAGCCTGATGGATGATTCAATGTTGTTTGCTCATTGGTTTGACGACGGCAAGCATTGGCCAGGCAAACGGCAATTAATTTCGGTAATGGATTTGGGAACACGCCCAGTCTATTTTTCTTCCTTTTTCTCCTTTGTTCGTTTGTCGATGTAATTTTAGGCTCAATTTTAACCTTCACCATCTCCCTCTTGAGTTAAAATAGAACTAATTTTTTATGTCGTGCCTGCAGTAAGTTTGCACTCGGGCGTTGTTTAGTCCTTACTTTTTTTTCAGGCTATAAGATGTATGTAAGCACCGCTTCATGGTGAGCTGATGGTTTGCTGTTGGTGCTGCAAACCGGCGGATCTGTAATTCTGGAAGACAATAGTCTAGTGTGCGTATAGTAATGGCTTCCTGGTTCTGTTCTTGAAGCGATTGCGCAGTGTGAGTATGAGACACTCTGTATCACCAATATATGAATGACGAACAAAAGATCACGATGTGTTGTTCTCATCAGGCCACTATTCGGTTGCTTGGTCTGTCAAAGACGCCGTTTGACAGACATGTGATGGGAAATGAAGCATGTGTAATTCCTCTCCGCGCTACAAAAAGAACTCTCTAATGCTGGGGTGAGTTTCACGTGGCGCATCTTGTCTCAGAAGCCACCATCCCACGACTTCTGGCAGCTGATTTCCCGGAAAAACACATTTCCTGTTGTCCTCCTCCTCATTGTCTTCATTTGCCAAGGTCCAGTCCAGCACTACCACTTGCTCGTCCTCATCTCCCTTCAACTCCTCCTCCAATGCCCTCTCCATATCAGCTTTAATATCCCCCCACGTCGTCATAGTTAACGTTGTCCTGCTCCCTTCCGTGGCTCCGGGTATGACCAATACTCCTGGGGCTGCATTTCCCGCAGCTGCACCGTTATGAATCGCATTTCGAATTCCCATACCCGCACCTGCCCACGGAATCTCCGTTCCCCCTGGTAAATGTACCAGCTGGGTCTCATACTGCTCGGATTTGTATGGTTCGCGGCCCCAGGTCACGCCTCCCTTGTGACGAACGCGCGGGAGCACATAGTGAATGCCCTCCAGCGCAGGCATATGAAAGTAAAGACCTCTGACGACGTTTCGCCAATGCCGCCGAATATCTTCATCACCAGGAGCTGTCTGTCGGGGCACATCTCGGAGCCAAGCTCGCCATTCCAATCCCACATGTAAGACTTGTTCCCAGCCGCTGATCCATGTATGCCCATCCTTGGAGCGAAGCATGTGTCGCTGATTGCGATCAAAATACAGAATATCCCTCTTTGGATTGAACCAAGGCCCCGTGCCGGGATCTGGGGCAAGAAAGAAGCCTCCATTCCGGAGAGCGGCGGCCCGGGACTCGGCGCATATGTGGAGTGCAATTGGCGGGGGATTCCTTCGGTGGAAGGTGAAGATCCTATTCCTACCGGCCATTGTCGTGTCCTTGACGTGAAAGATTCGTGCAGGGGGTAAAGTAGCCTCCCAAATGAGAGCGCGGATCTCAAAAGGCAGTCCGGACAGGTTGAACGATGTGTTTTGTGCCATGACTACTGCGTCTTGATTTGAATGAGGAATCAAATAGATGAACAGATTCGCTTCATACAAAAGCTGTAGCTTTATGTAGCATATTTCCTCTTCTTAGCTCAACCCGCCTACGCTGAGATAAGGCAGCCAAATCCCTGGCCAGGCAGCCGGGTTTCGAGAAATGAAGCTGCCTGGTTGGCTTGTGGCGGCTGCGATGAGAACGCGTCGACTTTACGTAAGGCAGCAAAATGAATAAGGCGCATTTGACAAGAGAAGAAACCCGAGTTGCACCGCCGCAAGATTGCAGCCGCAATTGACATGGATGAGCTTGACGTCTTTGATTGGACATGGAGTTTAGTGATGGAGCAGTGAGTTCGCCATTGTCTTAGAATCTGTGCTGAGTAAATGATTGCCTAATTGCAGCAGAAATGCTCTGTAGTTCAAATCCTAAACACCAATCACTGCCATATTCACTATAACGCAGGAATTGTAGGATTTGTACAGACGTCACCGTAGCTTGAACTCGGCATACCGCAGCCGCAGAAGCGTGTAAGACTTTAGCTTTGTATGTTAGTTGCATGTTCAAGTTGAGATGGGAAAACCACAGGCAAACAGAGCCTCACGAATTGGAGATGACGCCACGTGATGACGGCTCTCCTCCAAAGACTCGCTCGAGCTATTCAGCCTGAGTCTCCAGCACGCATCTTCGTATACACCCACTTATGCATGATTGCGTCCTTTCTGTTGTCATCGCCCTGCTTCACATGGAAATCAGGAGCCCATGCCTCGTGATAATGACAACTCGAATTCCCAACACCAAGTCAGCGCGGGCCCGATCCGATCGGCCAGCTCCATGCATAAGCCATCGAGGGTGAATATCTCAATCCTCACCCTGATCGCTACATTCATCTTCGTCTTCGCCATCCTTTTTCCTTATTTGGACATTTGGTTTCATCTTAAAGAAACTCTTGGAATTGAAATATCCAACGGAACGGCGACTTGTGCGCCATTTCCGACAGTCCCTCTGAACATCACCCTCCATGACGACTCACTTTTGGCGCCATCACCACTTCCCCCTTCACACGCGGCCTCCGACGGAGAAACAATTATTAAACTATTTCAAACACTAGGTAGAACGACGATCTGGAAGAGTATCGCAAACATTAGCTTCCATGGCGACACTTTTGAACCCGAAGGTCTCGTCCGCTTGGGTCCGGATCGTTATGTGGTCAGCTGCGGGGAGTACACCGAGCAGACGCAAAAGTACCCTCATCCCATCAATGGCACCGATCGGACGCCAGGAAAAGGATTTGCTCACTTGATGACGTATAATGGCAAGGGAGAACGGATTGCCGACGCGACAGTTACAAGGGAGGGAGAAGAAGAGTACCACAACGGCGGGATTGACTACGACGGACGGTGGATTTGGGGGACGGTTGCGCAGTATCGGCCAAACAGCACAGCATATGTTTATAAGGCAGATCCTTATAGCTTGAAACCACAGACTGTTCTACGGTACACCGATCATCTAGGCGGCATCGTTCACGATACCACCAAAAGTAGACTCACGACACTCAATTGGGGAAGCCGAAATGCATCTGTCTGGACTCTCAAAGACGGAGTGGCTGACGATTGTTCCACCCAAACCCCCAAATCTACAACTCGCAATCCGAGCTATTTTGTCGACTATCAGGACTGTAAATGGCTGGGACGAAGTAAATTTTATAATGGCGCGAGCGTAATGCTTTGCTCTGGCGTAACCGCGCTGGATGGCGAATACAGTCTCGGCGGGATTGCGTTGGTTCATACTGAAACAATGCAGCCTTTGGCTGAAGTGCCAATCATGCTTCAGAGTGCGCTTGGGGTGAGAATGACACAAAACCCGATGGATGTGAGCGTGGAAAATGGGAAGTTGCGGTTTTACTGGCTTCCGGACCAGAGAAACAGCACATTGTACATATATGAAGCAGAACCTAATAGTCCTTTCGAGTATGGTGGAGGGTAAATGCATGCCTTCTGCTAGACATGTCACTAATAAATCGGAATATGAAGCCTTCTTGCAGATGCCGTGGCAAGAAGAGCGATTCGCTGCATCCTTATCATCACAGCTCCGCCCCAATGGTTCCTCTTTGCACCATCTGAAAATGACTTTAATATTCAGAATATGTAGATAGGTCTGTTTGTAGTAACCAGCAAAGTATCTATAATGTTTGAACAATGTGTTGAACGTGACTGCAGCTTGTATGGGCAAAATTGACGTAAATGTTAGCCAACGGCTGGTTTACTCTATGGAAATCGTACCAGCGCTTTAGTACCTCTTACATTTTGGTGACAGAGGAATTGCCTTGCTAATATCTATTAACTCATAGACAACTTCGGCTTCGATTTTGAGCCTCACGGGTTTCACGCAGCTCGATGATTGGACAGTCACCAGCGACTCCTCGACAATTTATGCTCCTACGTGTCCATAAATTAAAAGCAGTCATAGCTGCAATGTATATTTTCACGGTTGACTAACCCGATGCATTCCATCAATCATTATTTTCCAAGTCTCTGTCCTTTGCAGATCTTATATCTCATGGTAATCTATTTCGTATCATATGATGTTAACTTGTTATAAGATACAAAGGCCGTTATCCATGCAGACATGTGGAAATTCATAAATCCCCTTTTCACGCATCCCTATCTTTTCCATTCCAACCTAGTCCTTCGTTATGGGCATTTTGGTCCGCATTTGGCGTGCCTCCATGTACATTTAACATGTTGGCTGGTCAACAGAACTAACGTTGGTCAAGATTGCAACAAACTCGCATTCAGGCGGGTAGTAAGTGACCCAATCGACATATTGGAAATAATACCATGGAGTACCATCCTCGTTGAGATCGAAATCAGCCTCGCAGATCTGCATACCGTTGAGAGTGTTGACGGGCTCATTGTGCCAGAGGTTGTAGGTGTTGGTGCCTCCTGATGGCCCCAGGAGCCAGTTGGGGTCAGATGCATTAGGAAACGACGAGGTATTGGCAAAGGCGAGCTGGCCTATAAGAGTAGGGTGTAAAAGAGGAATTTCCGTGTAGTTTTGTAAGAAGCCCTTGGGGCCAAAGTCGAAGATGGTACCATCAGAGTTCTGACCTTCACTGACAAGAACTCCATTGTCGAGGTTGGCAAGCAGCGGAGGAGAGCTATTGTCTATGGCAACATAGCTATATTGGCCATCTTTGCTGGGCCTAAGTTGAAGAGGCCTGAAGTTGTTTTCGGGGATAGAGTCGTCATAGAGGTAGAATGTGAGACCCGCGGTTGTGGTTACAACATTCTGGGCACAGAGTTGTCCAGTAACTTGAGATACGCCAGCGGCGAAAGCCAAGGCAGTTGCCATCAACTTATGAGACATAGTGGAATTGGTTTACACTCTTTAGTGTTGAATGAGAAGCCAGAATAGTGTTTGTTGAGAACTCCAGGGGAACATGATATGAATAGGGTTGACTTCTTGAGCTTCTTATAATTCTAGTCGGCTTTTTTGCCGAGCGGTAACAACATGGAAGGCGCATGAAGTTTGGTGATACATTGTACCACTACCGTCGGGTAGAGACGTAGTCAAGCTGAGCGCGATTAACGAGCTAAAACCTGCATCGGTACATTCATGCGGACAAGGGTGCTCTGCATGCGGAGAATACAGCGATTCCCAATTGTTGATGCTTTGCGCACCAACTAATGCTGAGATGTAACCTCAAGTATAGGTGATGTTGATAAGGTAGACATATCAAGTGCAACTCGAAACAGAAGAGCAGCTATTTTGTATACTACAGACGTTTTATCTACACCAGAGTAAATCTCGGTTCATTTGCAAATGGTATACTCATGAAGTAGCTTGACGGCTTACACGCTTGATTCACGTGCTCGAGCTGCGATAATCTCGGACATCACCATCTTGTCCAATCTTCTAAATCCGTTGATTCTTGAAGCTCGCTTGCAAAAATTGTTGAGCAGCTTCCATTTGTAGCTAGACGAGATTATATATTACATGTATGTAGATATATGCGAATCATGCAACTTTCCCTGTAACGTTATGGCAGTTGTACCAAAAGTGGAAGGTATTTCATTGTGGTTAATCAGATTACCATTTCAAATATACTAAACCGGTGATGATCTGATAAGCCATAGACGCGGGGAAATATTCATCGGTAATAATACCGCCTCTCAAACGGTACTAGGAGATTAATATAATCGATCCACTCCCGGGGAGATAACTACCGCATGTTTAAGTCGCAGACTCTTTCCTTGAATGCTTTTATAAAGTCCGTACAATGACACAGTCTCGTGTCTGGAATACGAATCGATGCCCAAGAGGCGCTCATGACGCGATGATATGCAACAAGGATGAGAGCGGGATATTTTCCGGCGGAAACTAATCACATACCGGTACGCCCTCTTCTGCACATGAATTGAATTGCCTAAATGCTTTCCAGCAACCTCAAACCTGTTTGTGCAATGCCAAGACGAGAAGCGGAGTATGACTGGATATGAGTAAAGTTGTAGTCTCATATACCCAGCATCTAGGCTGCAAGTGTCTCACACTTGCAACTTGCTACCATGGAACTCAGGACTATTGAACCCTTTCCCGGAGATCTTTGCCTCTGGATATACCCTAGCCAGATTATGTAGCCTGTCTACTCCGTCACGCCCTCCTGTGTAGGACATAGCAGTGGCGAGATGAGCATATGCGACTAGCCTCTTCAAAATGACGAGATATCCGGCGGGTCGATTGACGAAATATTAAGAGAGCTGGACACTAACTTCTCGCAAAGACAGCATCATATACGTTGCTATCAAAAGCTTCAAGCTAATACGGCATTTGCTGGGTTTTTCTCAAAAATCAACCGTAAGTCTTTTGTAAGCCGGATTACGGCGTAGAGATATCAGACTAACTGTACCTACAGGCACCGGAATTGCAAGCATTGTAAAGGCATATTACGCGTGTTGAAAGACAGGGTTGTTTTGGAGCCGTTCATCGCGACACCAACTTGCATTGCGGTTAATATCAGGACCATACAGGCAGTGACCGCAGCAGTCCAAGCCAGGTTATCACGGAAGAAAGTACTATAATAGTTTCTTCCCCGAAGTATGCCTCAGAAAAGAGAAACTGCTTTGTCCAATGTGTAGCGCGATAAGCGAAGCTCTGCCCCAAGGAAGGGAGGGTGGATCTTTGGAGTAATCATGTTGGCTAATCATTTCTCTTGCAAGTTGCCATTGTGCCCATGCCATGATTGGACCATCCAGACTTCTTGCCAAACAATGACACCTGATGGTAGTGAAGAAACCGCTCTTGGTAAATATCGGACAAGCATATGTTTACAGTAGGTGCTCTTCCACTCAATTAAGCGAGGGCGCCTTGGCTGATTTCGATATCGATATCACCAGCGCTTTCAAAGCTGCTAAACCGCGCCAATCAGATTACTTGTTCAATCTGAGAAATCCAGGAAGCGACTTGACAAAGGCCATTCCATAAACACTTTGTAGAAGGTGCAAGTGAATCCAATCCGCAGTAAAGATCCTACGACCAAAGGCATAAAGCTGTGTTGTGGGGCGTACTCGCACAATTGTCTAACTCGTCTAATTGCCGCAATAAAACATTTTGTTTCCAAGCATATATGGAGGAATAGGCCGCTACGCCATCTCTACTATCACCAATAAGTTCATAGAACATATATGCGGTTAGAAGGAGATCCAATTCAACATTTTGTCTCTCCAAGCACACGCACGTAGTGAGCAGAGCGAACGGTGTACGTCAGCAGCTCGTTGTATTCATAAATGCATATGATTGGCTTTTCAGTAGTAGCTATAAATCACATTGTTTCATTGCCAAGAGGGAAAATGACGGGACAGATGTATTCTTGATGGCTGTCCGACTACTACGGTCATATTGGAACTGGTTAGATATGGAAATCGATGGCAAGATGCGGCTCTCAAGAGCGTGCCAGAGGTTCTGGCTAGGTCTTGGGGTATAAACCGGGAATTATTAAAGGTTTCTGTTGATGAAGTACATCAACTCATGGATCGGGGAAGCGACGGTAGAAGATGAGGCCCATAGAGTATGAGAACAATAAAATGTACCTCAAACAAATACATAAACTTGATTCAACATACGAAAGGGATTCTGCAGAAATTTATCCAGTTCCTCGCTTTTAAATGGCGGATATGGCAAGATTCATCAGCAGATAAACAAATCGCGGCGTTGATGCTCTAACGCTACCCGGTAGTGATTGTAAGAATAAAAATACTGTAACTAAAGTTTCTCTAATGCAATCTTTTTCAGACGAAAATATACCTTTATGCAAAATGTATTTCAGATTATGAATATCTCCCATTCTTATCCTACAGAGAGATGATCTACATGGGCCTCAGTAGGCAAGTGGTAATGGTACTCGTAACATGGAAAAATAGGTATCATGAGTGGGCTGTCCTATCTTACTATACACAAGTTAAGGATAAGCCATTACATATGGTATCCCGTAACAAGAAAAGTTTCGATAGCTCAGTGAATTATGCCATGAAACAGATAAAATTCCATTCCAGAACCGCAGGGATTGACCAACCTTGATACTTTCCAAGATTAGAGATCACGACCGCATATCGACCATCTTCTGGCTTATGACTAAGGTAAACATGGGCTCAAAACCGCTACAAGTCACATGACGCCGTGTTGTGTACAGTGTCCAGTGTCCAGTCTGTTTCTCAACATAAACTTGTGCAGCAACTTGACGGTGGCTTGAAGAGTTTGGCTCGAGACTCCACTCCGGGCTTAGCCTTCTATTAATCAACCGGACATTCAAACACGAGACTCAAGAACGTGTGGGATGTCATCATAAAATTCATCGATCCATCTGTGTTCTGTCGAGATAGCGTTCGAGCGTGTTCAGCGCAAAAGGATAGCGAGGCAATATGGCTACACTATGCACCACTGGTCGCACCACCCAGGCGAAAAAGTCCTGTACCAGCTGTCGCAGTACGTGATATTTTCATTTCATCTCTAGTGTCGGCCGAGTTACGTGATGGAGGGGGTTTTGACGCAAATCTCCTGGACTCTGGCGGCAACAACAACGCGAGAGCCATTATGCTACTCGTATGTTGGATGATCGCAGACTAACTTAACCCTTCTTAGTACTGAAGATCGCATGCGACAAGGCACTGCCCGAGTGCACGGCCTGCAAGATGCGCGGCAAGACATGCTCGGGTTACAGTGAGAATCTATCCTGGCCACGGAAAGGCGACAAGCGCCGTGCGGCCATGGCCGACGTCCAGAGCCGGGGCAGATATCGAGCCAATCCCGTCGTATTCCTCAATACATCTAGCTGGGATGTAAGCCTGTATCGCGAGCACGTTGATACGGGAGCGCACTGTTAGTCTCATTGTGAACTCACCGTTTCCCCTCCCGCTCTTTAGACCCCTTGTCTGATCGTGAGTTATAGTGCAGCATATGGGGGCTTGGACGCCATCGATATCACCTAGCCAATCCATATGGTCATCAAAGCTTGGCTTTTGTAAGTCAGAGCTCGCCTGTTTTGACGAGATGAGATGTAATCATCGCGATTGTTGTTCGATATACTGAGACATTACAGATGGGCCACAGTTGCCAACGGCTATCCGCCTTGTCACATCAGGCACGTTTCATGACGATGTCTGCGGGCTCTTGTACCGGATGTCGCTTGGTGATAACACCGTGCCATCTCTTTCTCTCCGTCACTCCATGAATGCGATTTCGCTATTGTCGCTACACAAGTCAAATGAGGCCCTAAGATACAAGATTCTCGCGATTTCGTATCTTAAAGGCGCCCTCACGCAGGGCCTCGATAACAAATCTCGGCCACAGGCTATTGCCACTAGCTTGCTTTTGACGCTATACGAGGTAAGATGCGATGGGATTGTTATCCTACAAATCTTTATACAGATTCTAACCTTGTGCCTGCGTTGTGTCTTAGGTTCTGAGCCAGAGTGGCAAGACCAACGATTGGTCGGTATATTTCGATGGCTGCATGAAGATTGTCAACTCTGGTTTCAATATCCATCGCAAATATGCAGGAGATTGCGCCATCCTCCTCAACTGGGTCCGCTACCATAAAGTGTTATACAAGTTTAGTATAAAGCACTGGCAGCAGCGCACTCCGCAGATGGAAATAATGGCCAAGTCAGATATTCTCGTTTCTGATTCAGCAAACGACATAGATCTAATAACGGTAAGAATCTTTAACCGTTCATCAGTTCATACTACGCTGTTGCTGACGTCTTTAACCCCCAGATGCATAACATGCTTGGCTGCTCTCCCGAAGTACTAGACTTCTTGAGCGAAGCAATGGACCTCGTCAAAAATCGAGACGACCCGAATTACCTATCCATCAAACGCTTACGGGCAATTAATGAACTTGAGCTGCGACTCAAAGAGATTGACGACTTACGCGACTGTTTTGATGTGGGAGCGGAAGACCTTACCATCAGCAAGGTTACAGAAAGCATGAACGACAGATTATTCCAGTTTGCTTTGATCATCTATGTCGACCGGGTAGTCAAAGGCGCGTTCATGTCTTCAACAACCTCCCAAAGTGCTGCCGCCAAGGCGTTCGTTCTTCTGGAAAAGATCCGATTGTACGACAGGCCATTTCCGCTCTTCATCCTCTCTATTCAAGCAGAGACTGATGAGCAACGCCTACTGATTCTCACCACAATCCACCGCACCATGGAAGCAAGGCCAATGAATAACCTGGGGCCGACGGAGGAAATGATCAAGAAACTTTGGGCTCAGCAGGACTTGCAGGGACCCGAGCAAGCAGATGCACTTTTCCTCTTGAATGCCGTGATTAGTGCCAGCAGCATGCCGCCGACCTTTACTTCACCTTTCGTAATCAACGCTATTACTGGTGCGAATGGTGTGCCGTTCTTATCTATCTAGTCTACCGTGAAGGCATTGTTCTTGCATTTAAATTGCTTTTGGATCATTTGCGACAGCGCTGGATATTGCATATAGAATTGGGCTAGGCATAATAAATGTACACTGCGTAAATAAAAAGACAACAAGTAGTCATGAACTTGATAAAAAGACATGGATTTACTAATAAACATGTCCCGCGTCCGTGAACTCCATTCTACTGACAACCCAGTTCAACAGTACTACCACTGCGAAATATCAAATACACCGTTTCTCTCCAGAATTGTGTGTAACAACATCACTACCTAGGTATCCATCTGCCGGTACCTCGCTACCTACTTAAAGAATCGACAATCTTGGCAACATTTGCAAAAGCAAGCTCATCCAAGGTTTCTCGCCAAAGTTTCTCCGCAATCTTTTCGCCTTCGGGCTCATACACAAGCGGTGGCATTCTAACACAAAGAATATTAGCAAATTGTCATCTGGCTGTTGAATCAAGGCACTTACGGCTGGACTTTTCCATCTTCGAGATACTGCCCATGGGATTCCGCTCCTTGTTTTACGGCTGCATCCGTAAAGGCGCGTGCTCCAACCGACAAGGGACGCCCAAGAAGAAAATAAAATACCACCATAAAGACTTTTTGAAATGGGCTGGTCATTTCGCGAGCAAGACTCGACTTGCATAGGCCAGGGTTGGGAGCGTTTATTATGGCGACAGACGACGGTACCCTCTTGACCAGCTCTGTTAAAAACATTTGACCGAGCAATTTAGACGTGGCGTATCGATCTTGGCTATCAAAAGATTTGGGGTTGTCAAAAGCAGCCAACAGCGGTTCCGAGTTCCTCTCTTTGAACGCCGCCCATGCAGCTGTATCGGACGAAACAATGACAAGGTGCCCAGGCTGTCCAGAGATGCTCTTCTCCTTCAATACTGGGAGTAGCAGCAAGGTGAAGAGAGCTGTGGCAAGATAATTGACTTGGATAGTCTCTTCATGACCTGTGGAATTGTTTTTCTGAAAACCGTTCTTTATGAGGCCTGCATTGTGGATGGCTATGTCAAGACGCTCAAGCGTTTTGGTGCGCTCTGCAAACGCCATGATCGAGTCATAGCTCGATAGATCAAGCTTCCAGACTTCTATAGCAGCAGTTCTGCCGGGCTTTAGGCCTGATAACAATGTTTTCTTCGCCTCTTCACCACTTGCTTCACTGCGAACAGCAAGAATGAGCCTGTCGAGGCCAAGATCCAGAAGCTGACGGCTGCACTCAAATCCTAGGCCTGTATTGGAACCTGTGACAATAGCAGTCTTCCCGCTGAGATCTGCGTCGTTTTGAGTCCATGCGGGAGGCGACCTAAAGAGCTGGCGTTGAATGAATGCAAGTTGCGATGCTCGCTGTTTGGGGGTGATGTCGAATTTTGGGGCCATTGAAACGGGAATCTTTGTGTAATGACTATGGGTTTGGGTGAATGATGGTCAATAATGATGATTACAGCTGTGAGAGAATGCCTCGAATTTAAATAGATTTACGCTTTCTATATATCAACTTAACCACTGAGTAATGATCATTTCGAAAGATACCTGTCTTATGCTTCCGAGTTGCGAACTCCGTCTCGCGCCTTTCTACGTCTTTTCTCCGACAGTCAAGGGCTGGACTTACCGGGTCGCATAATGTCGAATCCTGCAGGATACGCCATGCTGCTATCAATATGGGATCAATACAGGTAACGGATTTAGCCACCTTCTTAGTGCCGATCAACCGCGAGTTTACATGAGCTTGGCGCGATTGGCTCCCGCTAACGCACAAATGAGCATCGACACGATGGTAGAATATCTGATCTCATTCGATAGATCGCCGGCGTTAATGGAGAAGTGGCTACATCTACTGGTCGTAAGTGGAAAAGGAGAGGTTATAAGCAACCGGCATCTATGCAACCGCGAGAAGTCGGCAAGCGGTGCAAAGCGAATGCCGCTGCACTGCAGGCGGCGTTAACAGTAAATAAGCATCACAGACGCGAGGTGCTATGTTACAACACTTTGGCCGGATGGAGACGTGCGTTTGCAGATTCCAAGGTAGGAAAGAAATTGGCAGCACCGGGCTCGTTTCATTGTCCAGTGAAAAAGGCGATTTTCTTTGCATCGCGGCCAACCTCTATAAGCACTAGATTCGGATCCAGATTCTGTCTGAGCCGTTGTCTACAAGAAATCACACGTGAACTCTGTGTTACCTTCTAGCTCATCTGATTCCATTTGACGCAAGAAATACCGCAAAAGAGAGAGAAAAAGGCACCCACAGCATCTTGTTACCGTGATGAAAATTATTGGTTATTGCAAAGCTGTGTAGATCGGTTTAGGAAAGCCTTCGGGAAGAAACTCCGCAGGATGCAAGGGTTAGCAGGCTGCATTCGCGGAAGCCTGGATTTCGGAGGTCCGGCAAAGACCGAGCGGCGCATTGGTCACGTTGCCGTAATAATCAGAGTCTGATGCTGTAATCTAAGGAACTGTGCCTGATATCGGGCATCTAACGATTATTGAATTTACCAGAGCGATCGATGGCTTCTGTCGTTTATATTAAGGTGCTTACGACAGAGATGTGAATGGAGTCGCTTAAGTGCGCAATTTGCACGGAGCACCCGGCAAGCTAGGAGTCTTACATAGAGTCTGTTGCGACTATACTTTTTCACATTGTGTTCTTCTGTAAAACGGAATTCTTTAATCACTGCCTCGCTTTTATACTCATTTCTGATAGCACCGAGGATTCCGTTGATGTTGTCGTACAAGTAACCAACTATTCTGGGTACGCTCACATTCCTTCTTCTTCTCTTTCTTTTACACCATCTATACCACTACACTCGCAACGTACATTGAGCAGGCATTTCCCCACATAGCAGTCGGCGAAATAACGGTGACTATACTTGCGAAACACCTGGTTTCAATCTAGGCATTCAAGATATAGAGCAAATCACGCGATATCATGAATTGCACTTATGTAATTTGCACACATCTTATTCAGGAAAGCTTCGATAGTGATCGACACGCAGTATAAACCCTGTTTGATGGCTCTAATCTGGCACCAACTCATATACGCAGCCCACGTGCCAAAAGATTTGAGAGCCTTCAAATGTCAAGACCATGCATGTGCAAACCCCATATCAGCTGCTGCTTGTTCAGCCCAGCTCAGCCGTCAAACTCTAACCCCAGCTTATCAGCTCATCAGCCACAGCCCATATTTGCCACGTCGAGATGGCATCCAATCAGTGGAACTCAATGGCAGCAGCTGAAGCCACATTGAACCAACAGCATGAACTGCCGACGTCACGTCTCCAGAGCTGACAGACTGTCATGCTGCTCAATATAAGAATGAATCCCTTCCGAATAGCTACCATACGCCCCTAGTTATGGTATCTGCGCTAGAGGCGATCGTAATGGAATGAAGCTTTTCCGCTTGCTGTTGGAGACATCTGCGGAGAAACCGAAATGTGAAATGGCACGGCAGATACCTCTACTCTCAGGGTCTACGAGAGCCTGGGTCAGCGCCACCGTCAGGATTCGTGGCGGCGCCTCAGCAGTTACGAACCAGTCCTCTGGTACATGATATATGGGGTTTTAAACAATCCATTTCCCCTCATGCCGTGGCGATGGCCAAGGTTTCTCGTGATATTAAAGCTCGTTCTCCCGCCCGGGTCGCCCTTCGCAATTGGTAGCATTGGCGTCCGGATAGAGCATCACATCTTTTGCGAGACGAATTCGGCGAATAGACAAACATGTGCGACAACAATAGTCTAATTCGTTCAAGAATAACGGGTTTATCCCATCTAGCCAGGAGAAATTCGACGAGCGACACGTCGACAGGAGGTACCAGTCATGACTACATCCCCATTATTGTTATGAGTGTCATTGTCGTGGCGATTATTCTGGTACTCCTGATCCTTGCGTACGTTTCAAAAGTCCCTCCAGTCTTATCCTTCCATCATGCCTGAAAAATACAAGTAGCTGATACCTATAATATGTAGTCAATACACAAAGGTGCTTGATCGGAAAAAGCCAGCCAACGGGCTTGATGATCCAGAAAACGCACTGAATGCCGGCAAAATCGAGAAACTGAACCAGAAGGCTCCAACTCAATCCTTCAAGAGCTGGAAAGAGAAGAGCGAGGAAGCTACTGATTCTGTTAAACAAGGCACTACTTTTGTCGTATGGTAAGCTGTTTCTAGCAGCTGCGGTCCAAATAACAAACTAACAAGTGGTAGTGCAATATGTTTGGAGACCCTACAGGAAGACGATACGATTCGCTTGCTATCATGCGCGCACATTTTCCACTCGCTTTGCTTGGGGAAATGGTTTTTGAAGAGGCATAATACTTGTCCGCTTTGTAAAGCATGCTTCATGTCTTCGTCGGAAAAATCCCCGAAACCTATACAGATTCCAGAAAGAACTCATATCCGATGAGAAATGTCAAAGCATAGGTAATATATTTGATACCCGGCGAAAACATTTAAGAAGACACATTCTGAGCTCGTTATTGTGCTACTGCAATAGTAAGGGGCAACACCAGCCTAAGCGTCAGCTGTTATGGCTGGCATGTTCAGATAGACTGCCGTAAGACTGTTTCAACCTCTTGGAGGGTATCCCCAAGTCAGGCGTAGATATTGCCATTGCCTACGCTACGAATGAAGTAGCAAGAACAAATTCGCCACGAACCCGAATTTTCGCCAGGAAGAGAGCGTGCAAGAAGCGAGAAGTGTGCTCTCGAGAAGTTGTAAGACGATACGTTCAGAAATGCCTAGAGAGGAATGTATTTAGAATTATTTCAGTAACATCAAAAACCTATGTCGCGGTCCTTGATGGGTATTTGGTTGTTGTGCGATCGCTAGCTTGGTGGCAGCCTATATAATACGATTACTGGAGTGGGGTGTTGGAGAGGATGGCAATCATGTTACTCGACGAGGTAAAAGCTACAAATCCATGTTGTAAGGCTTTGATTGCATTTGCTTTTGCCCAGCAATCATTATGCCTCGCAATTGATCTGGCGTGTGCTGCTCTAAAGGTGATGCATCAATTAAGATCTGGTCTAGATTGAACATATACGACTGTTGGCTGCCTTGGACACTGCCGTTTCAAGTAGCGAGCGTGGAAAGAAGAAGCCGGAAAAAAACAACTCGATATCCGAGAAGCCTTCGAATACAATGCGATTCAATGGCGCCTGCCAAGACGGTGCTCTTTGCCTAAGCACAGTAAGATGAGGGTAGAAGGTTGAATGGCAGCCATCCAGCTCTATACATACCATGATGGGAGGATTTGGACAGATTTGGGAGTAACATAGGCTACAGTAGCGACAGAAATGAGTGTCCGCTTTGTTAATGTAAAGTTCTTTTGCACACGGACTATTGTCTGTAACGCATTATGGCTGATACCGTGGGCGGCTTCCAAGCAGATCTAATAACGGCTGTTAAGAGATTGTTAGTGGAGCCGGGCTTTCAGGGCCACACAGCCAGGCAACGTGCAGCTAAGGCTAACAAAGCCTTAACAGCGCACATAACCTCTGATGCCTTTGAGAGTATAGTGTTAGAAGGTCGCCTGCAATAAAAACAGCCTTCCGCCGTAATGGAAGTCTGATTGAAATACCCTTCTAAACGGAAGCCTGAACTACAACCTTAATAACGACCTATTCCACTGATTTTCCAGCCGTGCGGACGATCTTTTTAGAACCAAGAGACCTACGCCTCGCAAGCTTTTACTAGGGTTAGTGCTTGCACTTTGATCTTGCAGTATGTGCCGGCTTGCTCGAGGAACTGGAACTAGTTGCAGGTGGGTTTTCCCTTTTGGAGAAGAGTAGCTTTTATCACGAGGGGGTTTTCCCACTGCTATCCTTGCTTATGGGCCAGAGAGGTGGTTGCTGGCGCTCTGGATTGCGGCAGCGAGTGTGAGGAGGATAAGGAATCTGACTGGCAAAACTGCTTTGGGATGGCCTAACTACTGTTTGAATGTGTTTGACACTGACCCGAGCTATAAAATGACCCTAAGAGAGTTGGCATTGTTCATCTGTATTAACTACCTGTATTATTTAATATAGAAAAGACAGCTATACTATAGTATTAGATAGGCAGTATGTCAGGCCCGACCTGGCGAAGCTATTAGCTAGGCCACATGGCGTACAATACACCAAACCAAACCAAACAAATCAAAAGCCACACAAAGAGTACATGATGATTAGAGGAAGTTCGCACTGTACCGGCCACAGATTCTCAAAGTGGCTCGCGCGGAGGGAAACTTTACACTGACAAAAGCGGACACTCTTTTCGGTCCCTATTTATTGCAATAATGGGCTATAAATCCCGAATACCTTGGCCCAAGGTTGAAGACTGTTTCTTCTTGGCTCCCCCCGTCGTTTTAATGCGGGCTCGGGCCATCAGTGTCTCCGTGCCAAGAGGTCTCTCCATATTTGAATAGTATTGACTCGGTAAAAGCGCCGGTCGTGTTGCCAATTTGGGTAGAAATAGGAAACCGTGGTGTAAAACTTATCCCTCATATCGGGCGTACTCGTAACCAGGTGCTTGGGGATGCAGGGGAATAAATACGCCCAGAGATAAGCTTACTGGAACATTAGAAGATGGCTTTATTCCGTGCTAGACTCATGACCAAGTAAGCTTAATCCCTAACCTTGTCTTAAGCCATTCAATACGGCTCCGTTTTGGGGAAGAGAATTGTTCCGGCTAAATGGTGGCAGCTTCACGTACTCCGTACCTATGTTTCAATCTCCGGCCCTTAGAGTAGGAGAATAGTATTCCGATAGCGACAATGCTAATGCCCTGCTATTGTTGGCAGCATCATGCCTGCCTAGAGCCATTGGTCACTTAGTCGGGCCAAGTGAGCTTGCGTGATTAGAAGCCCCAGCGCCAAGGTTACATTCTTTCCGAGCTTCCCTTCCGAGCAACGAGTTTGTATTGCTTACAGGTACGGCCATTGACCATCTGCCGGCTTTCAATGGCATCATGTATTTCATTATTCTTCGGATGAAATGGCAGTTCGCATGGCGTTTGATATGAGCCATCGACGTGTTTAATACTGGTATTCCACCTTTTGTACACGGTGCTCCAGACTCTGGCCGGATCGTCGTGGCCACTATTGCATGTAAATATCAATGTCTCCTTCCGTTAGGCGGTTCAAATTACAAACTGGAAAGGCCGGCCCCTGCGTTGGGACTCCCTGTTGCCGCCATCACACTATGCAGGTACGAAAACCGGCTCTTGGCTCCCACATTGAGACGCCAGCGTGAATATCAATCTCAAATCCCTGCCAACGGAGTTTTTGTACTTGCGTCATCCCTCCTAGAGATCTGTGATTCAAAGGGACACAGTGACATTGGATGAAAATTTATATATTAAGGCGAGTAACGACTACTGCGCCTGCCAGCCCCGTTTAGGTTTCCGTAGCTCCTATCTCTGACTGATACAGTTCTTCTACCATGCGGTCTCATCTATTTACTGCCTTTCTTGCTTCGGGCGCTTTCGCCGCTCGAGAGTTCCTAAATGAGCCTGACACTGGTATCGATGATGTTCTCGGCGATCTTCCAAAGGGGACTCTGCCGGATTTATCGGACATCGTTGGACTCCCCGACTTTGACTGGGCCGCTCGTCATTATCTCCCAAGCAAGAATTACACTTACTACCGTAACGGTGCTGCAGGAGAATGGTCATACCGCAACAATCTGGAGGTCTTCCACAGATACAGGCTGAGGCCCAGAGTTATGGTTGATATCACCAACATTGAGAGCACTCTACCGTTAGTTCCAAGCGCAAGAAACATTGTTTGCTTTATTTCTGATAGCCAAATCATAGGACAACTATTCTTGGCCATAACTTCTCTGCGCCCATCTTCATCAGCCCGTGTGCTCGTGGTGGCTATGGCCATCCCGAGGCAGAGCTCAATCTAGTAAAAGGTGCAGCAGCCGGCAACATTCTCTACATGGTATGTCAACTGTTGATGACCCGTAAAGCAAGCTTTTTACCACATGTTCGATTCTAACTTTACAAAAACAGCCGGCACTCCTCGCATCATACACGATTGAAGAGATTGCTGCTGCCAAAGCGGAAGGCCAAGTCGTTTTCCAACAGGTAGAAATACGCCAAATATTCGTTTGCAGCCACGATTATCACTAACACAATTGAATTATAGCTCTACCTCTCCTCAAACGACACTGAGACCCAAGACCTTTTGGACCGCTCCAAAGCAGCGGGTGCAAACGCCATTGTATTCACTGTCGACTCCGCGGCAGATGGAAATAGACACCGAGCTGCCCGCTACGGTGTCGGGTCCGCGTGAGTTAAACCAGGCCATCATCCACACTATTACATGTTGCTGACTATGGAGGGTAGTGACTCTGAGTATACTTATATCACTGTATGTCTTCGGGTCTCTAATTCTTTTTTAACCGCTCTATCATTCATTGATACGAATCGCGTCAATGGTCTGTTACTAACTTGCGATTCTTGTAGTGGGATTATTATAACAAGATCACTACTATGACTGATCTTCCCGTCATTCTCAAGGGAATCATGACAGTCGATGACGCCAAACTTGCTGTCAAGCACAAAGTTCCGGCTATCATCCTCTCAAATCACGGCGGCAGGCAGCTCGATGGCAGCCCTTCGTCTCTTGAAGTTGCTCTCGAGATACACGAAAAAGCTCCCGAGGTTTTCAAGCAAATCGAAGTCTATGCCGATGGTGGTGTGCGATATGGTGCTGATGTGCTCAAGCTGCTGTCCCTGGGTGTCAAAGCTGTTGGCTTGGGTCGTCCTTTCATGTTTGCCAACGTCTTTGGCACTAAAGGTATCGAGAAAGCCATTGACATTATTAAACATGAAATCGCCATTGATGCTGCGAATCTTGGCGTTGGGAGTCTCGAGCAGATTAACCCCAGCTATGTAAGAATAATCTTTCTGCTTCATTTACCAAAGGCTAGACTGACAACTCTCATAGGTTCAGTGGACCCCCAATAACTGGATGGGATAACTTTACAGCCAGCCATAACACGACACTCTTATAGTAGCCTCTGCGACCTTAATAAGCCGTATAGAATGCGGCGAGAGATACAATATCTCATAAAAATAGACAAATATATAGTTTCAAGGGATTTGGCAATAGTTTGCCGGGTAGCAGTAGTAAAACCTTCACGTGAATCTGATGTGCGGATGGCACCCAGGATCATGATTGCTAATATATTCCAGGTATATAGGATTGGTCAAGTCACCGGGCTACATGCGTCCCCTTGTGAAACTATTGTCACAGATTTATACCAAAAAAGCTGTCCAAATAGTTCTAAAGAATGTACAGACAGTATCCTAGTTCAAAAGTTGATCCCGCCTCTTGGCACTGCTATCCATCTTGCATTGCAGACGAATTGTTAGCTCATTGTTGATATTCTGCATGTCGAGGCCAACCGTCCGTCAACCTATGTTATTCCCTATCCGCATCGTGCAGTTCCAGAGCCACAATCACTTCCGACACCATAGTCGCAGCAGCCTCCAGAGGGCGAGCACTCATAAACGTGATTGTTGACACGCTTAGCAGTGATGATGTAGCCGTCGCCGTTCGACCAGACACAGTTGCCACAGTATTGGCCTTGCTTCAAGGGGTGCAAGGTGCTGCATTTACAACCAGTCTTTTTACAAGCCCGTTTGTCCAGGGACAGAAGGGATCGTTCTTCGACTTCGGCAACAGCCTCCACACGGGCCTCAATGTCGACGCCAGCAACAGCTGCCGAGGCCAGGGGAGCAATAAGAGCAGCGAGGAGGATGAAGCGCATATTGGAAGCTTTGTTATGTCGTTGAATTTGTGTGATGATGACTCTTTGATGAGGAAGGACTGTGGTAGACTGTTGATGCCGATGATCCGAAACGGATTGTCGGAGGGGCTTTTATACATTCTACCATGTTCGCGATGGCTTCCTTTTGAGCTACATCTACGCTTAACCATTATCATAAGCCCCGGGGAAGAATGGCTCCGGCGCCCTATTGATATGCCCAATCATCAGGATCAGAGATACAGCTGGTCTTGTGAAAATTCCTTTGAGCATCATAGCTGAAGTAAGACGATGTTCCGAGCAAGGATGATCTGCGTAGCTGTAGCACTTCACTAGCACGCTGTTTCACTTTCAAAGTGTGTTTGGCGCAGACAGTATACGACGTACCCCGCTTACATGAGGTTACATTGCATCAAACAACTGTGCAGGTAGGAGGCAAAACCTGGAAATCCTTCGACTCAAACACTTGATTGGCTGTATCACCAGTAAGCAATGGTTTCTATTCCTCCATGCCAATCTATTAGCATAATGTGGCTGATATTGGAATTGGTGTAGCTCATCCGCGAGTTTGAATAGTGTCCTACCGCAACGCAGCACTGACTGCTTTGACAAAATATAATTGGTTCATAATGCAATATCTATGATCTAATTGCTCCGTAAGGAATGAAACTGTACAATGTTGTTCGATTATTACACGGACGGTGAAGTTTTCCCTGGTGCATCTGTGGCATATGCAATGGTGATGGGATTGTGCACTTGTCACCGATACTATTTGAGAGTATCGTAAAGCTGAATACGAAAAAGAGTCGAGGGTTGAGAACGATTGAGGACCAGATCTTGCCTTCACATTCATATGTTCAAGCCAGCATTATCTCATAGCACTGTGCTCTCTCCACACTTCTTGTATTCCTACCTCACTAATATCATGACAGCTGAATACGTCGTATTCTCACTGAGGGCCGATTGCATCTGGTTAGCCTGTTGTATCAATTTCGTCCAACCTTTCCCAGGATGTATTCATTGGAGCCCAAACATAGAATCTTTCAGGTCGGCGACAATGTTGGTGGATCTTGGCGTGGATGGCCAATATGGGCTGGCACGAATCAAATCGACGAGTGTCCCCCTTCAAGTTGATTCTTCGATTTTCTCTATTAGTGGAGCTCTAGGGTACAGGATTGCCCGTGAATATAGGATATACCAACTTCGCTTTTCGAATATTGAAGCATCAGGTCTCTCGATCAGCTTATTACAGTTATTGCATTGGAAGGCAGGATAGGCATCATTCAACGCACCACTGTGGCAAAAGGTGATAAGGTACATATAGTGACACATCCAATAACTCATTTTTAAGCTTCATTAATAAGATTTTCTAAGCTAATTAACCTCAATGCAGGCTGAGCACGTCCGCTAGTCAAAATAACAATTCTATTCTGATGAGAAATCATAACCTAGGGTATAGTATGACCATGAGACATTCCCCTTGCGACGTGAATCCTTCGTGCACATGTTACTTTCATATGAGATCTTCCCTTTATAGAGACTCTACAAGCTCAATCGCCTTGTGGTCAACAATTGCTGAGCCGTATCTCTCACTCATAGCATGGACTCGCTCCTTGGTTTGCAGTTTGTAGGGTGTAAGCATCCATCCAATACCGGACAGGAGAGATTTGCGGTACTCAACCAGCACCTCATCAACAGAAAATGTTGGTCCTCCAAATTTAGCGAGAGAATCGAGGTAGTGTTGCAAGATGGACATTTCATGTTCCTTGCGGTCCTTGACGGTCAACGCTCCCACAGCAAAATAGGCAAGATCGTGGAAAGCTGATCCCACGTGGACGAGCTGCCAGTCTAGGAATCGTGGTTGGCCGTCGATGAAGTATGTGTTACCCTGATGAGGGTCGCCGTGGAGGAGACATGTGAATTTTGGGTCACGAATCTTCAGGTGCTTCTTCATTGCGGCTGTGATACGCTCCTCGTTCCAGTCAGAGGGGAAGTGAGGTCGTGATTCGCCAACAACCAGGCCTTGCCACCAACTACACAGGCTCAGGATGGTGCTGTCATAGTGTTCCGGGTCAGTGAGCCAAGTGGGAAGATCACTGCTCTTGTCTCCCCAAGTTCCGGCGTGTAAGCCGGCGAGCTGCTCAACACCTGCCTTTACCTGGTCCACTGTCCAGGTCTCTGTCGGTTCTCCGAATGTGCCACCTTGTCGGTTAAGGTCGTCCAAGATGACGATTCCTTGCTCGCTGTTCGACCCTGACCACCAGCACTTCAACATGTCCACGTGGCTCAGTCTTGGGGCGACCCAGGTGAAGAATCCAACCTCTCGAGTGTAAATCCGAATCATGATATCTGGATATTGGGCGACGACAGCCTGATTGAAGCCTCCCTTGAGACAGATGGCGGTGGGCTTGCCAGCCGCACTGGCCGCCGCTGCATCCTCATATGTAACAGTGATAAATAGCTTGCTAGCAGTTGCGAGGAGAATCTGGTTGGTGTATTCAAAAGATTTGACCTTTTGTCCTAGGACGCTGGAGAGCCACTCTGAGGAGATCTCCTCTGGGGCCAAAGGGAGCTTTTGTTCGGTTTCTGACATGGTGGAAATTTGTTACTTGCTTCCAGATGGTCTGTAGTGAGTGGTGATTGCAGATAGTCAAGAGAACAAAGGATGTTGGCTGGCTTTTAATTCTGATTAGACCAGACGTCCCCCAGACCGTCCCCCAGACCGTCAAAAAGATAAAGAACCCGCTCAGGGGCTTACAAGGCATGAGGATGAGCTATTCCATATACTTCCTAGTAAGGAGCACTTGTGAACAGCTTCACCCAACAACACACCTCTACGGTCATAGTCATCACTACAGGCTAACACTGCTCGTTTAGGTACTTCCTATTCCGTCTTTCACCGCTGCTTTGGACGGAATATAGAATGGCTTTTCGCCCATGAGGAATCAGAATGAGCTCTAGATAGACATGGATGTCCCTGCTGTTGCTACATTCCGCCGTACGGAGTAGTGGTAGTAAATTTGCAAGGGTTTGTCACATGTTGACGGCCTGTCATGCCCACAATTCCAAGGCAGCAGGGGAAGGGAAACCAACAACAACGACCGAAAATGTACCGATTACAAAACGAAAAACACGCAATACCTCCCGATTGAAAACGATCCACGGCCAGCTAGTATTGGGTCTATGAGCCCACGTACATATGCAGTCTTGCTTAACGTGAGACTTGAAGACTGTACAGTGGTAGCTACGCTACTACCTTGGGCTTCAAATAGTCTTCAATATGTTCCTGTACATAGTGTTGCAGAATGACTGAGTGAATGGCCGTGGAGATGTAGAATGCGGCCGCAAGCGTTCCCTGCGCCCCTGATGCTCTGGAGAAAATACCAGTAGTAGTATAGCTTGACAAACAGTATGACCTGTACTCCGGAAGGCCTCGCCAATGCTACTCACTGCCGTTGAAGAAATGAGTCGACCCGCTACGTCCACATTTATCCGTCTTAGACCTAGCTAACATGAGGCATAGCTTCGTCTTGACCAGGTTCAAACAGCCTAACGCAAGGGACAGGAGTTCGACACTACAGTAGTATAAGAATCCTGCATACAATCTTAACGCGTATACGTGTACAGTACCGCGGACTTTATAGCATCTACTACAGCTGTTGCCCCGGCGCGACTCAACGTGGAGTGGTTATATAGTAAAGAAATGCAAGACGCTAGTCTTCACTTCTTGCATAGGATAAAGCATTCAAAGTGCCGTTATTCCGTAATTCCGATAGGCAGATATACACGTACGGCACGGAGGGTTCTATCCGGTACGGCGTTCATACTGTACATATGCGACGGGCATGCTATGGGGGTGGAGTGCGTGGGCACCACGATCAATACAGGGGGAGACACAACCGCTGTCGAACTTCCACGAAAAGACCGAGGAAGCTTCATCTTGGAACTCATGCCAAGCGATGCCATAAATGTGTCAAAAACGTGATAAGAGGCCCACAGGGTGAAAGAGACTCTATCCGCTCAACCCCCTGCGAAATGGCATCTCAAGGCGCGCTGCTGCTTGCTTCCAAGCGCCAGTATATATTCTGAGGACTAAGCAGTGGCTTCACGGAGGCTACTTACAAAGGCGTCTCCGATTTGACATGTTGCGAATGAAAACTAATCTCAACCCAGAATTGCCCAGTATCAGGGTAGTCGTATGCCTGATATGGGCAGCAGGGAGCAACATCCGTAAGCCGAAAACAAGGTACGAGTGCCGCGGCAGAATTTCTGTTTTTAGCAATTTTCCCAACTGATTGACACGTAGCGAGAACCTAGCGCGGCACTAGCTCACCGGCATCCCCTTTCCTCTCCCCCGTACGGCGGAGGAAATCTCGCGTGACCGATTGCTCTCTGCGATTTGGGTTGTGACAGCGGTTTAGAGATATCAACCGCAATTGGACGAATTGCCTTGGGTGATATAGATATGTAAAATCCTGCAAAGAATTGTTGCTTTTGAATTGAGTTTCCAAATAGGTACTTCTCGCATTCGAATTCCTCATGATTGGTGGTTCTGACAATGTTACCCCGTACTCGTAGGTATTTGAGTTGTTGTTTCGACAGGAGCTGACCCCTGTTTCCATGCCTTGCTCATGCCAGTAATCCTTGTACACGAAGGGCTTGCACGTGGGAGTGCCTTGCTCGGCGATAACCCAAAGAAAAGAAAGAATGGTACCGCCATGGAGTACGGAGTATGGGGCAGTAATGGCAGAGAGAATCAAGGCATTCCACGTCGTATGTAATACGCACTCGTAAGTTGCGTTTAAAGCCTGTCTGTACCTACTACCAGGGTCTTTATATTGGATCCGGAACAATCCGGAAGACATGTTCTTCCAGTAGGCCGTCTCTCAGATGTGTTAGCAATGGGGTGATGTCCGCCCTCGGCAAACGATATTAGGACTAGGACAAGCCAATTCTACTACGTACGAGTACTAGGGAGCTTACTGTAGCTGTGGCACTTCGTTGCCGCGGAAGGCTGTGTACATCCCCGAGGGCGTAAGAAGTGAGCAGTTCTACAACTACTCGGCTCGACGAAGAGGCACATCATTTCCTTTTACAGATATCAACCCAAGAAAGAGGGGCCAAAGAGTCATTTTTGTAGGCTAGGGTCGAGTTACTGACTAAAGAAAGGCGCTACATTGTTCCCCCGCAAAATATAGCGTACCAGTCATGTACTATCCCTGTCAGAACACAACCCCGTCTTAACTCAGCTCCCTCCCCTGTCCACGTCTGACATGGATAGAGAATGGGTCGTTGTCAACCCACTCTCCGTTCACGCTTTAAGCAGTAGCCCGTATCGATCTTTGCCCGCAGGAAGAACCAGTTGAACTCGGTACCCCTGAGGTGCAATGTTGAAACAAGGCAATTTTTTTTCCCTTCGAGGGATCAGGGAGTTGTAGTAAATTGGTTCAGTGCAAATCTTTTGTATTAAGTAATCAAATGGTAATGAGGTACGTAGGTACTTGTACTCCCTATGCCCTGAAGTGGCAGGCAAAGCAAGAAGCTTGGATAAACAACCTGATGCCGCTGGATACCTTTTTCTCCCTCTTCCACATACCCGCTACACCTCCCACAGTCAGGCATGAGAATAAGGTGCCAAGATGAACCCAAGGGATAGTTTTTGGTCGGTGATGGTGGCGTTTGTTGTCATCAACAGCGTCACGGTTGGGTTGAGACTATGGCTTCGGATTACAAGTAGTAGCTTTGGATATGACGACTGGGCTACATGTGTTGCTTTTGTGAGAAACGGACTTTACCAACCTTCCGCCCCCGTCTATTAACCCATTGATATGCAGGGCGTCTTTGTTGTCTTCTGTGCGTTTGAGTTCCAGGCCCTTGGCTATGGGTATGGCTCCATGGAGATGCTTCCTGGATACAATCCAATATTAGCAGCCGAGGTTGGTTGCTCTCATTGGCCCTGAAGGCTCATCGTGACGTTAATTATTCGGCAGTTCTTCGTCATAGCGCAGCTGTTATACCTTATCGCGCAGCTGGCTGCAAAGGTCAGTGTGGCTTTAGTCCTCTACCGTATCGCGACAATGGCGCCTCTGATACGAAAGATCTTGATCGCCTCCATGGTTATTCTGTCTATCGTGTCTGTGGTAGCAATCTTCATGTTCGGATTCCAATGTCGTCCTCTTTCAGTCGCCTGGGGCGTTGGCACTGGCACATGTCTACCCGGATCGACCATCGCCAATGTAGCATATGCTGTCTCTGCTGCGGATATTCTCTTCAGCTGGTTATACGGAGTACGTGATATGGCTTCGAAAAGCGCATGTTCCCAAAGCCAAATACTGTCCGCGCTTGCAAACAAATGTCAATGACTCCATGGCTGACCCCTGAGAATCAACAGCTCATGCCGATTTACTTGCTCTGGAGCGTCCAGATTAGCATGCGAACAAAGATTGTCGTGTCAGTTCTGCTGGGCTTTGGCGCAGTGTATGTAGTATCAATTCCTTTGAAAACCACCTTGGTGCTAATAAGGGGTAACTTAGGAGCTGCATTGCCACCATTTTGCGACTCAACTATGCGGTTATGGTTGCTCAGATACCATCTACGGCCGCAGCACAGGCTGTCAACTTGCTTCTAACGGCAACTATCTAGTATGCTGAGCCTACCACGAGCAGAATTGCCAAGATACTGACCAAAACGTGTAGTTCCGCTACTGAAGTCGGCCTGGCAATCTTCTGTGCTTCGCTTGCTGCACTGAAGCCGCTCTTGAAATTCATTCCTTGGATCCCTGGCTCTTCCAAGGGCACTTCCAAATTCGAAAGCAATCTCGAGCCACGAGGCCCAAGCATTCGCCTCCAAGACCGACAGGTGGATACAGGAAGCGAGGAGAGCATTCTCCCAAGTAATCACCAGCATCACATCCAAAAAACGACACATTATGAAGTCAGCTACGAGACGCACTAGAGGCTTCTACAAATCTTTGGCAATCCTAGGGGTATTATCCACCCTTTGATCTTAAAAGCATTTTGCATTTTTCTTTTACCCATTATAGACTTATAGCTACCTGGTGTAGCGAGGACTGTTCCTCACTAGTAGTAATATTTATGTTTCTTTCTGCTATACAGTAGCCAACTTAGATATATTCAATTTGTTGGCTCTTGGCCAGTGTTATTAAACGTGTCTGTGCCATTTGAGCTGCACTGCGCTTGCTCCCTATCGGACAGTATGATCACCAGTACTCCGTATCCGCCATGGGAAATTCTTGCTTGCATAGAGCTCATAAAGCCGAATTATGGATGTATTGGTAACCAGTTTTCTTCTCGTAATATCCCCTACATTCATGTACATGGTAAGCATATGTAAGCATGTGCGACAGACAAAGACTCAATTTATCCCCTTTTCGTTTCAGAATGCCTGGGTTTAACACACACACTACTACGCACCAAGTCCCTTGAGGACTAAAGAATGGTAAATGAATGGCGTATTCGGACAAATAAACAAAAAGATATCGGTAAATATATCTGGGATCTCCGGAGGATTTGCAACTATATCCATCGTTTGAGCCGCGAATCGTGGCGATTAATTCTCCGTATGAATTGGATGCAAATACACCGCCGCCTATCGCCTACAATTTTGTAGTGGCAGACTGGCGGTGTTTTTTGAAGCCCGCCTGCCGACGTCCTACTCTAGAACCTTGACCGAGCCGAGCTGGGATGCCTAATGGCGGGTATTAACTGATTAAGCAGCTGCAGAAAATTTGAAGCTCGTTCTCGCCAGGCACTGGATGACAAGGTAATTGATTGGCTTGAGTAAGCCCATCTCAGGGATGTGGAGATGCACTCCGTACCCTGCAAAAGACAAAATAAATATTGGCCAGGCCTCTGGATTTAACGCCGGCATCGGAGTTGGTATCGATAGATAATTGCTCAAAGCTGCTCACAATCCAGGGCCCAACTCCATCTGAGATCGAGATAGCACACTCTTAGACAGTGGTGGTGAGATACCCTAGATTTTATTTGTTTTGCGGTTATCCCATTGCTGCACCCCTAGCATCTGGGTGGGTGGACAGCCCCAGACAACACCAGTGCTGAGAAAGACTGCATTCGCAAACACACTATGGGGTGCCCTTCACTGTTTAGCATCTTAGTCTAAGGAAAAGGGGTAGTACTAGTCTCAAAATGAGGGCTTACTGGTATACAAGTTTTCTATACGAACGGGTTACCAGTTTTGGGCAGATCTTCCAATGCCGAAACGCCCTACGTTGGTGCTATTCCTTACTTGTAGAGACAACAGTTTGCATGTATATTAACAAGACAAAGGGGTTTGTTTCTTTTACCAGAAATTGAGCAAAGTTTACTAATCTTTCTGTAGCAATTGAAGATTTGCAAAGCGTAGAGATAATGAGAAAGCCAATTCCGTCCAATCTCTAGACATGGCGAATGGCCTTCATTGTCAGCTAATTTCCACAGCATAATTGGAGCCAACACGGGGATGCCAAATTATAGATCGGTAATCCGGCACATCTCGGCAGGTTGGCAACAACACTTATTAACATCAAGTAACTCCTGTTCGTCATATAGCAAGAAGGCGTGGTACACGCAGCATTCTCACGTAAGAGTACTATTGTTGGTAGATAAGACATTGCCTTGTAAGAGTATCCTCTCCATCATAAGCATATATACCTATATCAGAATTAAGTATGTCATATTGCAATGTAAAAAAGAGGTAAATGAAGGAATAATTCAATGGTTATAAGAAACTGTGAAATGCGGTAGTAAACTGCGTTTCCGCCTTCACCCATCGAGTAGCATATACATATAACCTCGGGTCAAATATAAGTTGATGTACCGAAATTAACCGCTTCAAATTCTCAATAATCTCCATTTTCACTAGTAGTACTCCGTACTTCTTTTTTAATTAGATTGTCATTTTTTTGTGTTCTGCGTTGGAGAAGCCCTGGCTTGTAAATTTGCATTCTTCCATGGCTGGCCGTTGTGCGATATAAGTATTTCAATCCGTTCCCTTGACTTTGTCAGCATCCTCTTCTGGGTTGATCTGTGTACTCTTCATGACCACATGGATGAATGGATCTAGGAGACAATGTTTATCATAAGCCATGGCCGCAGCGAATTCATCCATGAAGAGATCACAAGAGATCAGATGGCGTGAGATTGAAATATAGCTTCTGCCTTCAAACTTGGGTTTTGTAGCCAATGGGGCACTAATGAAAGCCTCACCCCGACAATCCAATTTTCCAATCAAGAGCCAGGTTTGTCATTCCAAAAGGATAGACGAGAGCCTCATAGAATTCATTGTTTTGATTGCTGAAGCCCTGTCACAAGCCAAGGAGCAGAAAGCGGATTTGATCCCTGAGTAATAGGTTCGGGGTCGTCGTAGGTTCACGTGTTCTTGACCAAGCGAATCTTTTCCCGGACCTAAGTGTAGGTAAGTATGTTCCTCATCTGATAAGGATACGATAGAAAGGTAATAAAGAACCCATAGTCTTTCGTGTCTGTTATAGATGAGGTTATTGTCGAAACTCTCAAGACAGAGCACGTATTATGTACTACTGTAAGTTGAGAAATACCAACCTTGCCACAAATGTTAACCGATCAATTACAGCTACTTGCACCAGCTAAGCAACTCTTCAAATGTAAGATCTAAGCCATAATCCGGTATATTGGAGACGCTACCGAAAGATAGGGGCATCACGTCGATTCTCTTACTAAATGAAGATGCATTGTCACTCGATCTAGAGACTGAGATAGCCGTAAGAACCATCATAGGAAACCATTTATTGATTCCTGGCTTCCCGTTATGGCATTTACACACAAGTTAGATGATATCAAGGAGAGCAGGAGTGAAGGCCAAAGTACAATTACCTTGTTAAGGAAGGGCGAGGCCAAGAAAACTGGCAAAACAGGAGCACATTTCGGGCAATTTCGGGCAATTGCATTCTATTTGAGTGAAGCTCCTGCATCTCGACAATATAGTAAAACTCAAAATGTCAACATACACTCGGATAATATGAGTTGCTCTAGGTCAGCCATGCAGCCGCTCATGAAACTGGCCGCTCATGGGACGGCCGCACGCCGAAACCCGATTTCTCATAAACCATATCTATGGCCTTCATCTGTGCTATACTTTGATCCCCTGAAACCCATATGCCGTTTCCACTGCGACCTTTGATCCGATTGACGAACTCTTCCAGTTGGTATCTGTAAGACTTCCAGTAAAATTCGCCAGGTTGTTCCACGTCAATCTCCCGGAAGGAATGAACCGATTTGCAATTCTTTTCCGTCCACTTCTTGATGGGCTGCTGATCGTCTTTGTTGCGCACTTCATAGGTATCCTCTGTATCGATGCGATTATATATGGTGGCAAACATGTGTCCGTAGAACACGACTTTTCGCGTCCGTATTTTCACTTGGTTGGGCCCAAGCGAATCATCGTGAACTTCAACCCCTCGGTGCAAAACTTCAATCTTGGGAAGCTTGAACTTTGACCATGATTGATTGTATGTTCCTTGTATCTCTCCAATCGCGCCGTTGGGAAATTGAATCTTGGCCGTGTACTCTGCGTCACAAAGCTCGCTTGCTGGCGGCACCGTTGGTTTCAGATTACTCTCAATGCAGGATTCTGGCTCTGCTGCGAAGATGGCTCGCAGTGCCGATATTCCATAAGACCCGATGTCCATGATTGCCCCGCCGGCCAAGGCATAGTTGAATCGTATGTCAGTTGGTTTGATGATGCCCGTAGGGACTAATACCGAATGGCTAGCATAAACGACGTCGGCTTGGCTGATTTGAGACATGAAGTATTGCCATGTCGGGTGGAAATTGTAATGTACGGCGTCGAGCAAAATAGGCGCTCCAGGCTTATTCAACAGAGGTGATTGAAAGAGCAGTTTTGCTTCTTCTGCATTGGACACAGAAGGTTTTTCCAATAAAACGTGTTTACCCTTCTCGAGTGCTGCCAGTGCCCACTGAAAATGTAGACCGTTTGGCAGAGCGATATAAACAACGTCAATGGATGGATCGGCAACCAAAGCTACATCTCACGGATCAGAACATTTGCCTGTTTCGGCGTGGCCATGGACGGCGATCATGGCGCATCAACGAGGCTAAAGAGTGCAAAGAAGCAGCTTACCTTCATAAGAGTCTAGTACCACTGGGATACCGTGTTTATCGGCATATTCTTTTGCTTTTGTTTTATCTCGCGCGGCTACCGCTTGAACCACCACTTCGGGATGGGAGCGGGCTGGAATGAATAGAGCATCTGGCCTAAACGATTCAAGATGAGCCTCGCTGCACATTTGAGCAATGCATAATGAGATGCTCACCCTATGTTGGCAGCGCCTAGTATCCCAAACCGTACGGGATCGGAGGACTTGGGGACACTCGGCGGGTTGGACGCGGTGTAATTTCTGCGAAAAAAACTAAACAATCCCGCCATCCTGTAGAGAGTCGAGTGAGGTTCGTGGATGTATGGACTAAGTCTGGAGGCTATTGCTGAATAGAGGTTGAGGAGCTCGCTGGTATTTATTTATACGTGTGTGCCGTTTGACGAACTGAAGGCGGTGCTTCCACGGTATATCGGTATCTCGGCATCTCGTTATCCTGTTCTGACGTCTCACTCACCGCTGTTCCTAGATATGAGACTTTGTGTCGAGCTATCAACAGAGCTTAGATTGGTGGCGGACGTTATCAAGAAGTAGCAAAAGCAGAAGCGAAATTGAATCAGGACGAAAGATTCCTCATTGATATGGAACATTGTACGGTAAGCACTAAAAAGCGCCATGATGTGACTTTGGTGCCAATCGCGAGGCTTAAATCTCGCCTCTCCACAAGATGACAGATACATCAATAATAATTCCACCGGTGCCTTGACTCACCGCCGTGATCTGGCCTACTTGCTTCGATTGGTGCCCTACGAATGCTATGCTGTGCGGAGAACACGAGCATTCCATGTAAAATATCGTCGAGTATAAAACTACAGAATATGAAAACTAATAATGCTCGCTTACAATCCATTACAAAGAGCTACCCAAGCCGCACTTTGTGCCACATTCGTAAACATTCCTGCAAGTCCATGGCCAGCGTCCCCTCCAAGGCATCAGACGTGTCTTTAATCAAGGCAATCAATAGCGTTGCTTCAGCAAATGTCGATTGGTTCTCTTGAATGGTCTGGTAGTCGGACTTTCTCATGCCTCCCATATCCGCCCACGCCTTCCAAGTGTCCAGCATCTTGCAGATTGTCGACGTGAATTCTCCGTCGCGAACCATGCGATGCAGCATGAAGCCAACAACTTGCTTTACGGACAGAGATTCGTCCCAAATGTGTCGAGCTTTCAACCACGTAAAGCAGTAATCAGCAACGAGCTTTGTGTCCCATTTTGGGCTCTGCAGAGCTTCCATGGCCCGCTGGTCACGCCGCTGGTGCTCGGTTCTCGTTCTATCTCGCACTGCATTGCGAAAATCGATTAGTAACATTACACGAAAGATTCGTCCAAGCATCTGAAAGCAACTCACTGTCCTGCATCCGCTGGTCTGATTCTCTGCGCATCCTGTCTCTGACGGCCTGTTCACGCTGAGCTGGGTTCATTCTGGCTTCCGCCTCCATCGCTTGGCGCGATTCTCTGGTTCTCTGTGTGAATAGATCAAGAGAAGCGCCGTAGTCATGGTGCTTGGTAGCCCACTCGGGCGTCTCCGACTCATCCACCATGCCGAGCAACACCAAGACGCCACACGGCACCGTTTCTTTTCTAGAAAACGATAGGATGTCATCCGGGATCTTGTAGTTCCACAGGATTGTCTGACTGGAAGTGCCGTACGCTGTAGCAGCGCTCGCAAACCAGACACCGTTGGACTTTCGCGACTGTATGCGGAGATGTTCGATATAGAGGCTCTCAGGCGCGCTGTTGCTGTGAAGACCTCCTTCTACCAGAGCTGTGACAAGCCCGGATAAGGATATCTCGCAAGTAATGTCGCTTTCCATGGTTGTGTCAACTTGATGCTCGATGGAGTTGGCATCGTCATGGCTTGCTGCTTCGCTGGCGCTTCCGCTCTGGATCTGGTCCTCGTCGGCATCCTGTACTTTTTTGTCGTCCTTCTTCTCACTAGGAGTTGTCAATTCGCTTGATTTCCCAGCCAATGACGGTAAGCGAACCCAGTATGGCGGGAGATGGGCGTGATCGCGAGTAATCCAAGAGCTGGACCATGCCACAGCGAGTGATAAATGTCCGTCTGAGTCGTCCAGCGGGGCAAGGTAAAGAGCCTTTTCTCTCCCGTCAGGCGACATCATCAAGGAGCAGCCCACGGGTGCCCACAGTCCCGTGGATCTCAGCAACTTCCAGCCATGGGGATCCGGGACGGCTCCGAGATCCAGGAGATAGGAAACCAGCTCGTCAAACGCGACCTCGACCTGGGGCTGGCGCACCTGATCGGCATACTCAACGCGCTGAGTCTTCATCCCGATAGCGTTCGTCTTCCAGTTGAACGTTGTCCAGCTGCCGCCGGGAATCGAGCTGGGGTGGCGCGACAGGGTCCAGTACTCTGATCTGTTCTGAAACCTGTCCAAGGGCATGACGGCGTATCGCGGCAAGTCGATTTCGATGACGCGATTCACAACATCGCTACGTGTCAGCGCAGTCAGGCGACTCCGCCGGAGCATGCGCCTTATGCGGGAGAGAGACGCGAGAGTTGCGAATGTGTTGTAGAGAATAGGGAGAACTATTTCACATGGTCAGCGGCTGTCACCAGGGGTGATCCATTGACTATGATTGCTGTGTCGCGTTACCTCCCAGCACCGCCAATGGCACACCGATATAGGTGATGATGTCTGTCGCTGACCTGCCATCATCGGCCATTGTGATCCGAAGCCTTGCAACTGGCACCTCAACCAGCGGAGAAGTCCAAGAGCTCAACTTTTGACAATAGGAGAATAAGTTGAGATTCAAGAGAGACGAGGCGCAGTGAAGAGCTGCCTGTTAGCCTCAGCTGCTCATCTTGTTTGGTGTTAGCGCTGTGACTTGCGCATCTCAGCTGAACTCAGCCCTGGGGATCCTGGACACAAAGTCCTCCTACCATTTGCCCATCTGCCCCCTTTGCTAGGGCAAAAGCTTACAGCGCGAAACGCTCCAAAGAGTATGTTGGTGATCGAATTAAAATGAAGACGCTGAAAACACGCATCGTCCCGCTGTCTTAACAACCTGGACCTGGAGCATCATCGATAGATGGAATTCTCATGCCGGGTACCTGACGCTATCTTAGTTTGACTAAATGCTATGCTCCATAGCATGGATCAGCCTCAACCCCAGCTCAGGCTCCCGTCAAATCGACTAGGGCTTCTGAGGTTGTCTACCCACTGAATATGGCGGGCTGACACAGCGACGCCAGGCACTGAGGAGCAGACAAAGAATTGGCCACCAGGGCGCTTTACTTGGATGAGTTTGGTTAAAGTCAATCAATTGTTATTACTGTTCTTAGTAGCTGTATTACTTTTAGATTGCACATGTAAACACTTTGTGTGCTCTATTTTGTAATTTGAGAGCGCAAAACACATTTAGGGGCAGCTCTTCTAATGCTATGAGGCTGAAATATACCTGGTGTATTGCAACCTCTTTCCATCAACCAGTCGCAATCTTCTTTCTACCCATAAAAACACCCTTTCAAGTTACAGGCTGGCATCGTTTGCCTCCAGCATTGCCAGTGCTCGATCTCCCTCTTCACTGGCAAGTTGAAAAGCAATTGAAGCTCCAACACGAAGTCCTACAACGTCGTCGTTAGCATAGAGCATCCGGTAGATGGAATTGTGCAACCAGACTCACCATTGCTCCCTGCCATGAGTGCTTGCTTGATTGATTCCTGCGTATCTCCTGCAGCGAAACATCCAGGCACACTGGTACGTAGCATCATTGAATCAGCCACTATGTCGCCCTTTGGATTGGTTTCCAGTCCCAGCTGTTCAATCAAGTCCCGGCCACGAGGCTGCATTGGAGGTCGATGCAGCAACATTCCCAGCTTTACGGGCGGACCGCTCTCAAATTCAATCGAGATTCCATTCTCGGGACCGTCGCCGTTGTTGATGAGACGACGGACTGGGCGCTGGTCTAATTTGATGCCGATGGCCAAAACCTTTTTCAGGGCCATTTGCGTGGGCTCATCCGTTGGCACTGGCCCATTGCTGTAGATTGTAAATTCCTTATTGAATGGCCGGACCATCAAGGCGAAGGAGGCGTAGGATGGATCTGGGAACGTGAGCATGCCGATGGGGAAATCTTTTTGCTCGTACCCGTCACAGAAAGGACACTGGTAACTATATCCAAAGTTAGCATGACGTTGACAAACTGACTTTTGAGGTAATGGTTGATGACTTGCATGTGCTGGGGCCAGTTCTCTTTGTATCCCTCGATATCAGTGGGCAGAATATCCTCAACACCCGTCGCTAGAACCAACTTGCGGCCAAGATACGTATTGTTGGAGCTGTCGACGGCTTGAAAGCCTTTGTAGCCAGGGAGAATCTCGGTGTTGGAGACTGACACAATCTTGGTATCCATGAACGACACCTGGTCCGAGTATTTCTCTCTAATCTGCCCTCGCGCAATATTCCGGAATGAGCGTGGAGCTATTCCATCCCGAGAGAGAAATGTGTGCATCTCCTTGGCGTCGTTATTGCGATACTCGCTAGAGTCGAAGACGATCGAAGTTCGACAAACGCGAGCCAGAGTCAGTGCCGACGACAGACCAGCCGGGCCGCCGCCGATGACGAGAGCATCGTAGATGACGGGAGGTGTGCGAAACATCATGTTGTCTGGTTGAAAATCGTAAGAGAATGGATATTGCTGGCTGTGACTGAGATGACCAAAGCTGAGACTCAGGACGAGGGAGAGCTTCCAGATCATGACCTGGGAGAGAGAGAGAACAGAAGTCAAATCGAAGGAAGTGAACAAGTAATACAAAGTTTGAGAGTTGAAAGCACAATGAGCGAATTGTGAATCAGCTGGTGAAACGATAAGCAAGAGTTTCCATGTCGGCTGCCGACCTTGATAGATAGATGAAACGGATGTGGGGTGAAAAGGTAAAAGTCTCCGGAAACTTGGCGGATTCAAACAACGCTGCCAATGACAAGAGGAATTAGGTATAGCGACTTACATGTATTCATTAATAAATTAAAGTAGCTGTACGAGGCTGATATTCACAGTGATTGTGCAGCCAATCCCTTCCAAACGCGTGGTTGATTGTGCGTGTGTTTGTGACACTCAAATCATAGAGTCACTGCGCCTGCACCAGCGAGTCGGAGCCTTGATTCACTCATTTAGCGTATTGACACAGCGCACGTGCGTGATACTGGTGGAAAATATGAAAAGTGATGTACAAGAGTTGAAAATGAATGATTCGTATGTTGAGGGAATAGCAGAGACTTGGCGTGAATAAGGCAAGGTTGCTTCCTTTGTGTTCCTTGCCTTGCTTCGATTGGTGGTGCTAGGCCTCGAAACAACATCAACCCAAGATATCAACGTGCTTCAAACTGATATTAATCTTCAGAATTTGATGTAACTCTAAATATTTCGGTTTCCGTCAGAATAAACCGGTAACCGTGTCTGGTTATAGCTGCCGAAGATGTCCTTGTCAACGAGATTAAGAAGAGTCAGAGTTTGGTCATTCTCACAGGTTGAAACAAAGAGATTTCAAAGTTTATAGCACCAAAATTCCAATAATACCAGAAAATATCATGGCGATATTGTTGGTGATAAAAATAGCGCTCGTATCTCCTTTGGTTGGTAAACACCACGCCCTTGAACAAATCTAACAGTATACATGGCTAAGGCAGATCACCAAATAGATATGGCTCGCGTACAGACTATGGGCGCGCGATCCGCGCATGAAATGCCTTCCGCCAGGCCCTAAAGGGCTCCCCATCATTGGCAATATGCTGGAAATGGCAGATACTGACAAGATGATGACCTTGGCGAAGCAGTGGGCCGATGAATACGGCGATGTGTTTTACACCAAAGTAGGTTTGCAACACTTCATATGGCTATCATCACCCACCGCCGTCAAGGATCTCATGGACAAACGGGGAGCCATATACTCTTCTCGAGCCGCCAGCCCCATGATCAACATGGTTTCCAATGAAGAGCGCCTCAACTTTCTTCCCTATGGCGAAAAGTGGCGCACTCTCAGAAACATCCTCCATTCGGCGCTCAACTTGGAGACAACTTCGACGTACAAGCCCGTGCAAGACTTTGAATCAAAGCAAGCCGTTTGGGAAATCCTGCATGCAAAAGATGACCTAGAGTTCAACGACATCAACCGCAGATACTCGACCAGCACCATCATGACCATCACCTATGGACAGCCTGTGCCTCGTCTCAGCGACCCTCTGTACCAGGATATTCTCAAAATTGTCCGGCACTTCTCGCTGGCCACAGCGCCTGGCGGCTGGATGATTGACACGCTGCCCATGCTTGCAGACATTGTCCCAGAGTTTCTCTTGCAAAACTGGAAGACGGTGGCCAGGCAATGGTACAAGGAAGACTCGCAAATCTACCTCCGCATGTACAACACACTCATGGACAAGGTCAAAAACGGCACAGCTCCGGATTGTTTTCTGAAAGACTTTGCGCGGGAAAAGTTGGAAAAGAGCCTCATCTCCGACGTCACGGCGGCGTTTGCTGCGGGAGCGTTGATCGAAGCCGGAAGCGATGCAACGACAACAGCCCTCAACAATGTCATATTGGCTTGTCTTCTCTATCCCGAGATCGTTGAAGGTGCCCATGAGGAGCTTGACCGAGTAGTGGGAAGTGATCGCATGCCCGATTTCAACGACGAGCCGAATTTGCCGTACATTCGCGGCATTGCAAAGGAGACGCTTCGATGGCGCGCCTCTACCAAGATCGGGACATGCCATTCGACTACTCAGGATGACTGGTACAAGGGCCATTTTATCCCCAAGGGCGCCGTAATTGTTCTTAACTGGTGGTGAGTATTTTCATCTGGGTCTGATTAGAGGACATACGATATATCATGTCCGTCAACTGACATTTATAGGGCCATCCACTTCGACGAAACTCGATGGAAAGATCCCCAGCGCTTCGACCCAACACGCTACCTCGACGACTCTCTAACAGAAGCAGAATCCATGGCCCAGGCCGACGCCAACCTGCGAGACCACTTCACATTTGGTGCCGGCCGTCGCAACTGTCCCGGCGTCCACATCGCCCACAACTCCCTCTTCATCAACATCGCCCGTATCTTCTGGGCCTTTCGCATCCGCAAATCCACCGACGACGACGGCAATCTCATTGAGCCCTCCACCGCGGCGCAGCCGGGGTTTCTTCTCACACCGGTCAAGTTCCCTTGCAGGTTCGAGGCGAGAAGCGACAAGCACGCGGCCATCATTGAGCAGACCTGGTCAGAGGCGCAAAAGCAATGAGTTGTCTGGCGGCCACAAAAAAGCAAAACCGTGTGCGTGTTGCTGGATGATTGGTCTGATGCGCATATCCCTGTGACGAAGCTGAAAACGCGGATCCAATGAGAGCGATTTGCCTAGATACGAGGCTGCAAGGGGGGGTTAATCTCTCCTTCTTGTTTCTCAGCCTTCGGGTTTTATCACTTCATGCATGTATAGATGCCCAGTCGATAGATCAATGACAATATGTGTATTCGGCGACTGGTCGGAAGCCGGTTGTGTGATCAAAGCCCGGGTATAAATAAATACACATCCCTCAGACAATCGCACAATGCGCTATCCCAACGTAAAACCACAAACATTTTCAACCCTATTCATATATACAAAAAGTGTAAACGTTCTGAAAAAAAAAGAACGAGGATATCATGTCTACTCTTGAAGACTTCTTAGCAAATCTCAACCGTGCCCTCGAAGATGTCACTGAAAACCTCCAAGGGCCACTCAACGACGAGCGTGTCAAGACTCTCCAGATGACTGAATCTCTCCCAGCTAATAACAAGAAGCTGTGGGAGCTCCTCTCTCAGACGGTCAATATGGCCGATCAACTTGTGCAGCTCCTCCAGCCTCCAGCCATCAGACTCGCAGAGACCTATCTTGGTACGTCGGAGTCAAGTCATCTCACCACCCATATCAGTACAAAAGATTCTAACACGTTTAATCTATAACAGCCTATCTAGACACCAAAGCGCTCTTTTCCGTCGTATCTCACAACATTCCCGATCTCTTGTCTTCCGGCCCTCTCCAAACTTCAGTCCTCGCTCAGCAAAGCAGCCTCCAACCTCTCCGTCTCAAGCAAGTCATGCGCGTGCTTCACAACAACGGCATATTCGACTATGAGCCCAACTCGGATACATACTCCAACAACGCCGCTTCCGCTCTTCTCCAAAAAGACCATTGGACCCAGTGGCATCGCTGGGTGAGCCTCTACGGCGATGAATTCTACGACGCCGCCAAAGGCATCCCCTCAGCCATCAAAGACGGAGAAACCCGCAGCGCCGCCCAAATCACCTACGCAACCGACAAGAGCATCTTCACCTATTTCGCCGAAAAGGGCCTCCAAGAGAAATTCCACAAAGCCCTCGGCGCAGGCGCCGTAGCGCAAGCCCCCGGAATGCTGGCCGATTACAACTGGAAGGAATTAGGCGATGCCGTCGTCTGCGACATTGGCGGCGGCGGCGGCGACTTCATCACGGCTCTGCTGCGGGATAATCCGCCCATGAGAGGCGCTCTCCTTGAAATCGAGCCCATTGTCGAGATGGTGAAGCCAAAGTACAGCAGTCCCGACGGCGTCTTTGCAGACGTTGCGGATCGCATGACGGAGCTACACGCCGGAGACTTTCTTACCAAGATCCCCTCTTATGAAGTGTACACGATGAAATGGTGTCTTCACAACTGGACAGACTCTGATGTCGTCAAAATCCTGACCAATGTCCGCCGGGCCATTAAACTCACTCCTCGCTCGAGGATGGTTATCATCGAGTCGGTGCTTGCAGAGGGTCGGAGTTCACGCGTCTGGCGATATGGGGATCTCACCATGATGTCTACGGCCAATGGACTGGAGCGTACAGAGGCTGAATGGATCAAACTCGCTAGACAGTCTGGCTGGGTTATCAAGGGAATAACGCCTTTGCGACACGCCTGGGCTGCGGCCATTGACTTGAGGCCATTCTTTGCCGTGTCTATGTAGCGTCCATGCCACCTGCAGGCATTTACCAATATCAACATTCTGACTTGACATGGTACCAAAAGAATATATTGATGTTAATTTAATTGCATGCACGAGATAATCACATTCCCCGACTCTCTTTGTGTACTGATTTATAGCCTGTGGAGTATGGCCGTTTGCCTTTCCATCCACAAATGAACCAGTAGTCGAGACAAGACATGCAAAGAATATTCTAATCAGCTCAAGAAAACATCACAATGAATGCCAGTGCAATTAGTTGATTAAAGTATGAACAAAGTATTAATAACATGGCATCTGTAATGGCCACTGCCTGGATACACTCCCAGCCTAAGTGGCATGCATCTATTATGGTATGGCTCTGGTGACAGCAAAAGAGAAATAAAAGGACCGAGATTTCCCGCATCTGCAATTATCGCAGCGCATTATTAGTCATTACATGAACGTTGAATAGCACATAGGCTTCCATCCTTAAACTCCCTCTCCGCGGGCAGATTGATATAGCTTGAAGTAGTGGCCATGCCGGGCCATGAGCTCGTTATGCGTGCCCTGCTCGACGATATGGCCCGCAGCCATGACAATGATCACGTCTGCGGTTTTGACAGTATTCAGTCGCTAAAAGAGAGCGTAGCGAGTCAGCATCTTTACAC